AAGATCCACTAGAAGCCTTATTAGAATTACGCCCTGACATCATCGAAAACTATCCTGACACCACCTACATAAAATAAAATAAAAAAAAATAAAAAAATAAAAAAATAAAAAAAAATAAATAAAAAAAAAAGTGACATGCTATAATGTGAAACAAAATAGTTAATTTTTTTTTAAGAGTTTAACAAGGCTGTGTAATATAAATATATATTTAACGTATAAGACGGGCAATAAGAGCCAAATCGCGGATAACAATGCGTTATCCTAACGAATTTTATTTTTCGAAGGGGGGTTAAAGGGGTATTGAAATTAAATCTCAAGTATGAGATTATTTCATATTTAAAATCCCGTTTTCATATTTAAAATGGCCGTGTCCAAGTAAAATTTGATGCCTTGTGCACCGGTATTTAATTCTAACGAAAAATAATTTAGTTTCGTTAAGATAACGCATTGTCATCCGCGATTTGGCTCTTATTGCCCGTCTTATACGTTAAAAATAGTTAATTGTTTCACATTATATCATGTCACATTTTAAGATTAGAAATTAAGTTAACTATATAGAAAGTTGTGTTTTAGCACTTGATAAGAGCCGAAACGTCGTGAATATTAAATAAAGATCATTAAACTGCCAGAGTTTTTTTTTTTTTTTTTTTTAGAGTCAGGAAATTTGCCTAAACCAAACTTTGCGTCCTGACCCTTGAGGGAGGGCCAGGAGGCTTTGTGGTGGATTCCCGCCCGTAGTATCCCGAAGGACTATCGGACGGGGGACCGACCTAAAACCTGACTGAAGCCCCTGGTCGTATGGGTGTTGTCCACCGCGGAACCGCTAATGCATTACATCACGGTGGACACCCGACCGGCGTCCTTTAGAGGACACATCCCCCGAGAGGATACTACAGGTATCCCTCCGGAGAGGACATTCCCTTGCCCCGAAAGGGCATCGGAGGGAGCCGGGCTACTAGCTCCCCCCGGACTTCCCTGGGTCGACGTGCAATGGGATCAGGGCCCCCACCCTTCTCCCTGCCGAACCCGGTTAGTGAGACGGCCGCAGCCGCCCACCCCACATTTAAGACGTCACAGGACGTCACCAACTATATGGACAAACATATATACAGACATATACACGTCCACAAAGAAACCAAATAAGGGCCACAGGCCCAGCCCTCTAGGGGCCAACAGCGAAGGCACAGAGGCCGAAAGACATATAAAGGTGGTGCATGATGTTCACACCACCTATGGACGAAAGACGAGAAACTAAGACAAAACATGAACCTGGCGCGGGCAAGGAGGCCGCGGAGTCACCTTTCAGCAACCTCCCCGGCACTCCAAACCCATCGCCGCTACCTAGTAAAGACATAACTACAACATTTAAGAAACACTACTTAGCTGCTGAGGCAGCCTCGATCTCCAAAGGTCGTCCCCCATCAGGACGGCCCGGAGCCTGGCGCCTATCTTTCGCCCCGGTTGTTTGTTGCCCGGGGGGAGGGGGAAGCGAAACGCATCCCCGACCCCCCAGGACATGTCGAGCCGACTCCCCACCGTCCGAGCAAGCCGGACAACGGGGAGTGGCGACGCACCCCGCCGCTTGGTGTCCCTCGACACCACAGCGGTAACAGCACCGCGAGCGATCCGCGTCAGACGCACAATTTACCCGCGCATGCCCCAGCTTGAGGCACCTGAAACACCTCAGAGGCCGGGCACGAAGTGCCTCGACCTCCAGGGTGTTCCAGCCTACACGAAGTTTACCCGTTGACAAGGCCTTTCGGCCAACAGCCAACGGGCAACGCACCCAAAGGGTGCTCAAGGGGGACCGCGGCAGGGACCGAATCGACCCGATCCGGATATCCCCCGCGCCGCATCCCCCCAGAGACCCCAGCGCCTCCAAAATCTCCTCGCGCGAGGCAGTCTCCTCCCCCATAGTACCACGAAGCCTGAGCTCCATGGTTTTCTGGGGGCGGGAGACCACCACGTCTCCTCCCGAGAAGACCTCCCGCAATCTGCCTGCAAACAGGTCCGCCTTCGCAGCCGTGTCTTTTCCAGGGACCTGCAAAAGCAGGCCCCCAGTCACACCAAACCTCATCTTCATCGGGCCAATGCCCAACTCCTCGGGGTCAACGCGCGACCTCGCTTCCTTCAAAATGTCCGAGTAGGACCGGCCCCTCGTAGAAACGAGTTGTACGGCCGACCCACTCGGAACTCGCGCAGCTCGAACCCGGCCCCGACGCGCACCCAACCCAGGGCCAGCCGCGGGGCCCGACGCCCGAGCCCCCCAGGAGGACCAGGCCACCCGACCCACCGGCAACCATAACAGTCGCCGACGAAGCAGGCAACCCAGCCCCCAGAGAGCAGGCCGCCAATCTACCGCCACGACCCCGCCTCCCCCGCTTACGCATGGAGAGGACAGGGGAAACCTCGCTGGTAGAGGGAGCAGAGGCAGGCAAAACTGCCCCACTCCCCCGAGACTCCAGTGAGGACCTGAGGGACTCTACAGCCCGCCTCAGGCCCCCAAGCGCCCCAGAAAGACGCTCATCGATAAGAAGACCCACCCGCGCTATTAGCTGCTGGTGTGGGTCCTCCCGCAAAGCCGCATCAGAGGAGGACTCAAATAGAGTCCTCCGAACCGCAGAGACAGTCCCCTCACCGGAAATTTCCGGTTCGGAGTCCGCCCCCCCACTCCGCTTCCGCCGCGACTTCCTCTTTCGAGGGGGCGCTTCCTTCTCCCCAGAAGAGGGAGGAAGGGGAGCAGCCAATCTCCTCATCGACTCCAAATCTTCAAGGAGTTTCTTGTTTTGAGCCTCCAGTGAGGCAACTCGAGCTTCAAGTCTTTCGACTTCCTCCGCATAAGCCCGGCAGTTGTTCGCCAGGATCTGCTCTCGGTCGAGGACCTCTACCGGGCTAAGGTGAAATCCGGGCTCCGACACGTCAAGCGCGCCATCCAAACTCCCAGGGGAGGCAGAGGCAGCGCCCAACGCATCTTCACCCATACTCACGTCAGGAATTCCACCCATCGGCGAGTCTCCTCGAAACTCCTCGACCTCTTTGGTAAGGAAGTCAGGTTCTTCCTGGATAGCTTCCAGGCCTCGTCTTTCCAGTTCCAAGGCCTCACGATTTACGTACTCAATGCATTCGTGGCGGCCACAGAACTTCGTGACACCACGCGAGCACCTCTTCACAAAGGCGCGGACCTGCTCCTTTAAGTGCCTATATGTGTCACTCTGACGATAGGCACGTACCTGCGCATCTGAGAGGAATTGCCAGACATCGATCGCGAGATTCCTCGGATCGACATCCTTACCCAACCCCTCCCAGGTAATGGTCAGCTCGATCAGCTGACCCTCCACGTCCTTCTTCGGCTTGATCCTCGGCGCTGTCGCTTTCCAATCCACGGACCCAGCCGGCAAATCCGTGGACGACCTGTCGTCTGTTGACGACATGGAGGGAGCCAGGCCTGCACCCCCCCCACGCCGGTTCCTGGTATCCGAACCCAGGACGTTCGCTTTCTTCTCGGAACTACTCATATCTGAAAAGAAAAATTGGTTTTTCTGTCGGGGGTTTTCCTTCCCCTTAGGAGATTGCCTTGCCTGGCTAACGGGGCCTCCCCCCGGGTGTTATCTTCGGTGTTTTCCTTCACCTAGTGCAGTGGACAAGTCCTTTTTAGGGCCTGCACGCCCATCGCACCTCGTTCATCCGTCACCACACACTCCAGCTCGGGTACCTCGGGATTGCGACACCCGTACACTACAGGGATGAGTCTGTAGTGCCCCTGAGGGAGACTTCAGAGATTTGTACATCTTTTTTTATTACATTTTTTTTTTTTAATTTTTTTTTATTATATTAGAGATTGTTTTTTTGTAATGTTAATTAATTTGCTTTATATTAATAACATTTAAGACCGGATTCAATGTAATTTTTTTTAATTTCATAACTAAAGATGTATTCAATAATTGTCACGCCATTCAAATTATTTTTTATCATTTTATACCATTTTGTAACTATTTATAACTGTTAGAATCAGGTTACGTTTTTAACATTTAATATTTTATATAAATATTTTTTCATAATATTGTTAAATTTACCGTAAATAAATGATCGATGGAACCCGGTTTAATTTATTTATTTTTTTTTTTTTTTTTTATCTACATATTTGAAAACGTTTTCAGCAAGAATTGTCACCTTATTTATTATATTTTCTATTATTGATCCATTTAACATCATAACATTTCATAACGGTTACAATTTTATTTACCATACTTTTCAACAATTACAACATGATTAAAAAAAGTTATTTACAACTTTTACTTAATTAAAGATACTATGTCGTAATAATGATTTTATTAAAATTGTCGATTTGGTTTAGATTTAACTTGATTTTTTAATTGTTACAACAAAATTAATATTTTTTGTTAACAATAACAATTTTTATCGTTAAAAAGAAAAAAAAATGTTTTTCATTTATTCAATTAATGAGTTTTCAAACAATAAAAGATTATTTTTAATAATATTATAAATATTTACGAATAGGTTTTTATTCGATAACAGATTAAAAAAAAAAAAAAAAAAATTAACAGATTACCTATTTTTTTTTTAAATATAGAAAACGTCTCGAATAAACATGATTTACAATATCTAAATAATGACCCTAAAGTAATCATAAAATTAATTATCGCAATTAAAGATACTAACTCTTCAAAAAGTAAAAGAGCCTGGTAAAAAATAGAAAACATATTAGCAGAATAGCTTTCTTTTCGATACTGAAACATACTGAAATAAAAAATCATGATCTTACGTTCGTTTAAAGTATCTACATGATGATTCTAAAGTATCGATTAAATTAATTATCGCAATTAATGATTTAGATTATATTTAAAATAAAAGAGTGAACTGTTCGTTTACGTTTGTCCAAATGGAAAAGCGCCACATAAGAACCAACTGTGAATACCGACCTTTATGCTACACTCTAGATGTATATATGATCTATGATTTTATTTACATGATGGCAACATTGGTGGCGCTGGCAATAAAGTTGGGCCAAATTCTGATACATTTCATTATATACCTTCGCGACATACGACATATCTTCGCATTCCGAGTTGGACGATCTATGTGTCGTTCAGTGTCGTTGATCTGTTTGCACGTCTGACAAAGTAATAAATTTGCGAAAGGTACATCTAACGCTATTGCTATATTTAGTATCTTATCGTGGTATTTTCATTTGTATATCGCGAAAATGCGCCGTTTATTTGCCACTTCTACAAGTTTTTTATTCGACCTTTACATATCTAGAACTTCAAAGATTTTTTTTTTCATTGATATATAATCTGTTTGACACTTCGATAAATTTATTCATGTATTTTGTATTGTGTCATATATATTTTGACGTATGTTTATATGCATAACACGAAATAAACGCCACAAAAAGTTGTACTAATGAATCTAGTTGCTTAGAAAGTGCAAAAGTTTACAAGAAAAATAAAATATAGATTAAACAAACTATAAATATATAAATATACATATATACACACACACATATATATAAATATAACAGTAATATTGTAGCATGACATTTTTATTTCTTCGAAACAAAAATTCAATTTATACTTTATGTAACAATTATGTTAAATAGATAACATTAATATGATACTATAATATTAATAGTATTATTATATTTCTCACTTAAATAATATACTTATTAGATATCAATACATATTAATTTTTTCAAGCTATTTTATAAAAACGTATTAATTTGGATTGCATTTGATTATTTCATATATTCTTGTTGCAAGATTATAATATGGCTACCGCACAATTGAACAGAACCAGGAATGTAAAGAAACTTGAAAAACCACGACCGCTTAAGCTTAATCAACGTAACTCGACTGTTGATGGGCGGATCACGACTGGTAAATTTATCGTTACTTATTTTCTTATTGAATTAAATTTGTAATCTTTTATAATAGCTCTGAATTTTCATTTATAAATATAATTATTCTTTTCTCTATATTTTATGTTAAGTACACAGTAATGTACGCAGTTTTTTGTGTGCACACATGTGTATGTAATAATCTGTTCTTTCTTAAATACAATGATGCATTTTTCTATTTCTTTTCTTCATCTTTCAGTAGAGGATATAGTGTCCTTAATCGACAATGTTGCGATGCAACTGACCAATGGCTTCCATGACCGAACGCTGCAAATGAATGTGATCTCTATGTGTAGTCATCTGAAACTTTATGCCAATGAATTAGAAGCTATTTATAAAGGTAAATAATTTATTGTATATTTAACTTTATTTTGAAAAATTTTATTTAATTTAATATAGTTTGATTTTTTTTCTATATGAAATTTAATACAAAATTATATCTGTACTTTGTTAATGTTGTTCTACTGTGTTTTTAATTATAATAAATAATTTATAATATAGTTAAGTTAACAAATATATTTATAATTTCTTCAATATTTTACTTTGTACATCCCAAATTATGTGTACATTTCTGTAAATATTTATCTACTAGTATTAATATTAATAGATATATAATAAATGTACAATATATATCGTCATTGATTATTGTATCGATATAATTAGACACTGCCAAATATCGATGAAAGCTTTAAAACTGATGAAAAATATCTAATACTATATATAGCTATAAATTGTTATTATTGAAAAATACTAGTTTTAGGAAGAAACTAAGATTTAGGATTAAATTTTTTTACGTATGAAATTTCTTCCAATTTATTGTTTAGCTTTTATCTTATTAATTATTATTAAAAATCATTATAAAAAGCAGAAAAACAATCGTAAGACGTTTATATTTATTATTTTCATTATAGTCCTGAATTGATACTTTATCATTAATTTTTTTTTCAGACCAGCTAGACCGAGCCTTTGTAGCGATCAGAAATGGGAGCCAGGACGATAGATTAGATCTGACGACCAGGGTTCATCTGTTGGAACTCATTGAATTGCGAGCAAAACAATGGCGTCACACAGATTCGATGGATGTGTATTATATGCAAAAATTGTCACATCTAGACAATGTAAGTAAAACCTTTATTTTTTATTTTTTAATAATTTTCTTAAATTATTATATTAAAATGCCAAAAATTAAAAGTTTTGTTATAAAAAAATTAATTTGTTTATAACAAAAATAAAATTTACTCTCACCAATGTTCTTAAAAAATCTCAAAGAACTATATACTATGTATTTCCAAGAATTGTTTGCACTTATCATTATTAAAATAAAATTTTAACCTCAACTTTTTCTCAGTGTTGCGATTTGTAATGTGAACTATATATTTCTAAGAGAATAATAAATCAAGTACAATTAGATTAATTTTGATATAGTAATTTTAAATTTTCATCAAATAATCTAACATTTTATTAGCAGACTGATGCAATTCTCGATACACCTACTAACTCTCTGTCGTCTTCTTTATTGGCGATAACTTCACCGACTTCGCCGCCAATTTTGGGACCTGGTGAAGTGATCAAGAATAGTGGAAAATTCACGAAACCTACGCGCATACCAGGGAAAAATTATTGCAAAGACGAAGTCGTCATTCGCAATAGTGATTCAGGAAAAGGTAAATTAATTTACTTATATATAAATATATATAAAAGTTCCACTGAATTTAGTTGAGGCGTATCTGATTCTCACATGTATATTAGAATACTATTTGTACGACTTTGACATCAATCTTTTTATTATAGAATATTTCTAAGTTATTGACAGAGTATGTTTAGTAATATATCTTAATAATCAGTAGGGATTTATTTTTATGCAAAATGGAACCAACAATTTTATTTATATGTAAAGCGAAATCATTCATCCTCCATTTAGACTTTTAGAGATTTTTCCGGTTATCCGTTGTATATTCTGTTGTTATATAATTTGCACGAAAATACAGTGATGGGAATAAAAGGGCGTCGGGTTCACATGATAGAAGAGCTCAGCCAGACGATCATCTCCTTCCAGCGAGGTAAACAGTTGAATGAACCGTCAATGGCTTGTCGCAGCATTTTGTGCTCATGCATAGCAAAAACATTATTAATCGATCGAACAAAGCCCCTCAAATGATAAAAAAACATTTTTTTAGTTCTCATTCATTCAGGAGCATTGAGTTTTAAATTGAGAAATTTGTTATACTGACAATTGTTAAACTGTATTCAAACACACATATATGTGATAAAAAATTACAATTTTGTTTAACAAATTATTCTTAATTTGTGCATGAAGATGCTGTTACAATTTAACCAGAGTGATTGGGCCACTTTTGAGTAAATAGTGTTAGTTTTGCTTATAAAACCTACTAATTGTGAAACACAAAGTACGTCAACTTTCTTCCATGTAATGTCAAAGAAACCATACATGTATATTTCAAAATATACACATATTAGGTTGATCTGAACATTTATTTTTCTTTTCTTTTTTTATTATATCAGAGATGTAAAAAATGGAATTTCTTCATTAATCTAATCTATTATATTTCTTATATTAATTAATGGAATGTATCCTTTTATAGCTCGATGAATGAAATGTATAAATATCATGCGTTGCATTTGCAGCTTTAAAAACTGAATAAGCATATTATATTATCAAATATTATTAACATATATATATATATATATATATATATATATATATATATATATATATAAATCGTTTGATCACACACCACAGGTTTTATACAGATAAAAAGGTTTGCATTTAATTCACTTAAACGCGTTTTCATTAATATATCAGATAACTCACACGAGCAAAATAATTTTTTATCTTATATTAAAGTGTATATATACTATAAGATATTTTTAAATATATTGTTAATGTATTTTATATATTTATTACATCTTGCTTGGTAATATATCTTAATAACTTAATAATATTTAATATTACATCTTGTTTAACATATTAACTGTATCATTGATTTGTGTTAAAGATCTTAACAATCACACATAATTTTTATGAATATTGATATTGATAAGAGAGATAATCACTCATGCTATATTTTGATTCATAGTAAACCCTGGAGCTAAAGAACGACTTGTCCAAATCACAGGAACATCCGAGGACAAGATTCAGTATGTTAATATCAGTTATTAATAAATCTGTTTTAAAAAATTATAAGCAATACGTTTGTTTTGTTCTTTTTTTCTGGCAGTTACGCGAAGGATTTAATAAAAGATACGATACAACGAAATGCATCTCCAGTGAGACTGGAGCAGAGTTCTGGTGGCGAAAAGGGAGCCATGGGCGGTTCCAGCTCCTCACTCAACAGTAGCGCTTCGGACGAAAGCAACCGACTGCAACATAACTCTCGTTTACGTTCGTCTCTTCTGCACAGTTTCTCCACCAATGATGCTAGTATAGGCGAATACAAGTACACCGTTACCGTTGGTAACCAGTCGCTCAAAATTACTGGCTGCAATCTCGATCTCGTTAGGGTAATAAAATGACCATAAATTTGGAATTTATTGTTATTATTTTACTATATACATTTATCACACTTGTTTATCAATTTCATTAAAAAGTTGAATTTTTAAAATTATATATCTTTAATTCTATTTGTTCTATATATTTTTTCTCTATTTATTTTATTTCCATTTACTGTTATTTATGTATAATTTCTTTAATTTTTGGATATCTAATGAAAGTATTAATATTCGGGACTGGATGATGATGAAGGGGGGGGATTCGTGTTATAGACGGCGAAACTGGTATTAGATGAACACTTTTTGGGCGATTCCGAGAACTTTACCAGCGGGATAGAATACTTCAACTACGAAGATGAGCCCACCTTCTCTGTTTCCTCCAATATTCCCCGTTGTACACCATTGTTGCCGTTAGACAACGTGAATGCTTCTTCTGTAGGTCGAGAATTAAGCCTGGACAGCGCTGCAACCTCTTCAGAAAGCGAAGAAACTTACAAGTCTCGTCCGATCTCCGAAGAACAATACTCCAAGATTCAACAAGGTATATTCATATATCTTAAAAATAATACAATATTATATTTTTTTAACATACATTATATATAAAATATAGTCGTTATAATATAACTTGATAAAAATTGTGTTATTTTAATTTTATTAAAAGAATGTAAACTCTATATGCAATTATACAATATAGTTTAATTGACTTCATTCTATTTGATTATCAAGTTCCAGAAGCAAGAGAACTTACATACGAGTTTCTGTTGCTTTGCGCGACAGGCCCGTATGCGAAGCGGCCTCCTACCGATTGGGCGCGCATACAGAAGGAATGCCCTAATATAGTTCGTAAGGTACCATTATGCGACAAAAATGCTAATCACATATGCAACACCTTCCGTATCATTCTTCCCTGCAATGCTGCAGTTTAATATTTTATATATGTATATATATATATATATATATATATATATATATATTTTGCCAAGAATGAATTTGTGTTTTCAAGAATGTGGTGATATGAATGTGATTATTACGGTATTTTTTTAACACGCACGCTTTTAGACTTGTACAAGAATAGAAATCTGTTCTTGTTCAATAACTGATTAATGAATAAGAAATAAGTTATTAACACAAGTGAGAATCTAAAGCGGATATTATATAAACGTGCGAATCTCGATAATCATTTTGCGTTTTGTATTGAAGAAGCATATATATATATATATATATATATATATATATATATATATATATATATATCAGCTTCTACACAACATACGTGACATTATAAGTAGAACTTAGAAATTCTTTGCGCAAGAAGTTAAGAAATTTCTAAAAATCATTACCAAAGATATTACAAGTGAATTACGGTATTTGTTTCGATTTGCGACGCGCTTACGATTTACTTTACAAAAGACTGCGCGTATTAAAAACGAGAGTTTAATGGACTGAACATACAGCCGAATTTGTATTAAGATCGAGCATAATAAGATTTTTCTTTAGTTTGCACTCTTTATTCTAATGTCACAGAATATAACTGTTACTGTGTTCTGTCTCTCATCTTATTCTATTAATACTAATATGAATAGTGACAGAATAGAAAAATCTAAAAAAAAGCAATCTTTAAGTGGGAAGCAGTTAAAACAGAATAAAGAAAAATCTAGAAGAGAAAATCGGCTATACTCATACATAATGTGATTTAGGAGAAAAATTTGGTACATTATATTCAACTCAAGAATTAATTGAGATTAAACCCATTAATTGTTACATAAAATAGAAATTATGTCTATTATTTGTTGCATATAAAGTTTTTCTACAATATGTTATATTCTTCGAGAAAGTATGTTCCTATATTTTAAATCTAGAAATATATGCGCTACGATATATGTTTTTAAAATATTTTTTATATTGTTAGATTATATTGTTTATATAATTTATAAAATATTATTTATATTCATTTTTTCTCTCTCATCATTCTTTTTTTTCTTTCAAACCTAATTAAAATATTGTAACATTTAGAGAAAAATGAGAAATTTTATTTAAAAATATATACATACAAGAGGCTAATAAAAGACTAAACTAATAAAAATAATGTATATCAAACTTACACACATGCTGTATTAATAAATGCATATTGCAAAATTTGTCAAATCTTGCTCCTTGTTTCCTCGTAAACAAGAAAAGCGTAGTTTATATAATGCTTCCCAATGTACCATGTTTGTTTAAAAATATACTATAAATATGGTTATGCAATTTGCAAATTAAATCAAAAATATTATAACTTGTTTCTACGATAAAAACAAGTAAATATAAAATTTTAAATACATTTAACTGTTTGTGTATATAAGCATGTATACGTATACACACACACACACACACACATTTTATATTTATGTATGTATCTGATAAAAAAGCATCATATAAACTACGCTCGAATATATAATTTTATTGTCTGCATGCTTTCGTGTAAGTAATCGCCAATTAACATATTATTCGGCTTTTTAAAAGAATCGAAGCATGCTGCTTCTAATGTACATAATAAGGTAAGATATATAAATGATATCACTTTCTTAAACAATATAATTTGCGTGACAATCTCAAAAATTGATCTTTTTATTGGCAGGCACCGATTCGCTGGTTCGAACCGGAGGCGTATAAAGCTAAATTAGCAGCTGCTGGTTCTGTTGCTATATTGCCGATTAATGAAGCAGAAACTGATCCCGAGTGAAGCTAAAATTGTTTTTTCTTCGACATCCTCCATTTTAGTGATAAATTTTCAAAAAACGAGACGTAATTGTGTCAATCGAAACAAGATTATGGCGCTTTTAATTCTTATATGCGTATACGATCTTGTAAAAACAAACTATTTCTTTAAAGGAATATATATATATATATATATATATATATATATATATATATATATATATATATAAAGTAGATAATAATTTTGTTAGTCATTTAAAAAAAAGTCAAAAAATATCTTTGTAAGCATTTAGATACATATTGCGAGCTATATCTAAAATCTAAAAACAATGCAAACCATTGAAATATACGCTTTATATATTGATACGCTAGTCATTAGAGTGAAAAATATTCTATTTATTGAGTGAAACATTATTTATACGATTACTTTGCTTTCCTTTTTATTGAATATACATCATTATTCAAAGATATAGAGCCAGTTTTGATGTTAGGTCAAAATATGAGCAAAATTTTAAACTCTAGTTTAAAAGCAAAAATGTTATATTAGTTATATTAATTTTAAAGAAGGAGAGTAATATTTGTGGAAGCCACACATTGTGTGTGAAAAGTATAATAGCTACTAATTTACACGTACGTGTAATTACGATAAAATATAATAATGAAGAATTAAAATTGTACATTCAATGGAGAACATCTTTCATATATAAACAAAATTACGATAATGATATTATGATTTTACTATTTGCCTAATTTAAGATTTATCTCATCAATCTTAAAAACAGTATAATCGTAAAATTTTATATAGTAGTATATACTATACTTTCAAAGAAAAAGTACGATAGAACTCGCTTTGAAAAAAATTGTGTTTTTTGTAATACAATAATTACATATACTATATATATAGCAAATTTGGATAACGATTTTAATTTTGCGAATTTAGAAAAATTTCAATTTCATTCGTATGACGAATGTTATACGGAAATAAGATTGAGAGAATCGTTATTTAACATATAATCTAGTCTACATATCTTAATATAGAAACTATACCATTTCCGCGTATTTACTCTACTATGACGTAATAATTAAAAAATTATTTGGAAGTTTATATTTTATATATACATTAAAAATATTTTGTGCTATGTGCACTGTGTGTATACACACACACATATATATATATAAAATTTTGTTCATGAATTTTATTATATCATCAGTGTGAGATATTGCTTTACAATGTCACATTTTAATTATAGAATTGTTAAGCAGAATTATTACCCGATATAGTTATGTTACGAGAGCATTTTCTTATATTTATACGGAATTCATTATTTTATTTCTATTTCTTAGTTCGAACATCATACTTTAAACAATAAAAAGTTTTTGCAATGTGTTTTGTATTTTTGTTTAATATTTTTATCAAGAAAAAAAATTAAAAGTTGAAAAATGAAAAGAAAAAATTTAATATTATTTAAAATCTTAAAAAGAAAAAGATACAAGACGATAGTTACCCAATGATATTGTTAACATTTATTAATAACTAATCAGTGTTTTAATAAGTGTTCACGAATAAAAGACGTGACTTCCTTTTGCATTGTACAAGTTTACTGCACAATATTTAAAACACATAAGCGTTTTTATTTTTACATGATTTATTATACGGATTTACACTGTTGCTTTGAATTATATATATATATATATATATATATATATATATATAAAATTCACACACACACACACACACACACACACACAATTTATGTCTATATCGTCTCTAAACTAACTGCGCAGTAATATAATAGTACTGTATTGTATTATTATACTTTATCATTTATAATAATAAATTAACACAAAGTCAAAGAATAACTATTCTTTTCCTTTTCCTCATAAAAAGATTAAAGAAATATTTCAAATAAACTATATATAATAAAATCTATGCGATTCTTCACACTAGAATTTTTTATTCCAATTTTATATATATATTTCAAAGAGAGAAATCATTGAAACATATGTATTTTAACTCTGCAAGTTCAAATAATTATACTACATATCAATTGCACTCTTCACTCGAATCTTGTAAAAATTCAAAATCTTATTATTAGTAGTACTCGTCAAAGATTTACGCTTGCCAATTGCATTTTTTCCCCTTTTTGCCTCCTTTTTCTTTTTCGCATATATATATAAATACTTTTATAGTCCAGTCCAAAATCAATTTCAATTATGATCTAATTCTAGCTAAAGCATATACATATATGTAGTATAGCATGTATATATATACCTATTTCTTTCCTTTGTAATTAATAAATCATTTATGTTATCGCTTATAAAAGATGCATTAATCAATCTAATAGCACGATGTAAACAATATATATGCGCTTATTATTACATGAGATAACAGATTTGTGTTTTAGAGAGCGATAACAAAATCTTTATTTAACCGCGTTAAAAAACAACATATAATATACGGAATAAATATAATAAAAGCGAATAAGAATTTCGCTTTTCTTTTTCTTTTGTACATAATAGTGATTTTACGCGTCGAAAAGATGAACGGCAAATAGTCTAATATCGAGCATTTTCTTGCATTTTGCACTACGTCCAATTGTGTGTCCAGTGTGTTTAAAGAGTTACAAATTTTCTTAAATACATTTATATATATACGCATATATGTGTGCATTTGAGTTATTGAGTGTGATTATGAATAACTATATTCATATTTTACGATACAAGCACGTAACATAAATTTGTTTTTTAGAACACTTTACATTCCGCGATTGATAAATAGTCAATGTAGCGCAATCAATTTTTTTTCTTCTTTAAGCATCGCTTCTCTATATATTTTCAATAGATCGAGAACAAGCGATATAATTGATACAATTGTATATTCAAATTGAATAGAATAATAATTTTTATATATGATAATAGGGCCATTTTTTTTAAATTTGTCGTTTTTTACTTAGCATTAGTCGTTTATTTAGAGCGATATTATATAAGATTAATTCAAATATAAAGGATACACGCAATATAAAGGGACACACGCAAAAATAAAAAATTATTTAGCACACGGATAATTTTTTGCTCTTTCTAAAACACAATTATTAAGACAGAAAGAGAGAGAGAGAGAGAGAGAGAGAGAGAGAGAGAGAGAGAGAGAGAGAGAGAGAGAGAGAGAGAGAGAGAGAGAGAGAGAGAGAGAGAGAGAGAGAGAGAGAGAGAGAGAGAGAGAGAGAGAGAGAGAGAGAGAGAGAGAGAGAGAGAGAGAGAGAGAGCAGACATCTCTTATTTTCTATTTTTCAGTTTTAAAAATTTGCTATCTTTAAAATTCTGTAATTTTTTAATCTGGCGCTATATTTTTATAATGCAAACAGAGATATTTCCACTTACTTGATTCGCGATATAAAAATAATAGATCTCTATAAAATAAGAGAAATGGAAACAAAAAGAGAGATTTTCAATTTCTCCTGAAGATATATATATATATATATATATATATATATATTTTTTAAGCACGTGAGCCAGGGTAAGAATTTGAAAAGTTGTGCTATATTTTATTATTTAACGTCAAATGAGCATAAAATGTGTATGTGTTTAACGCACGCGCTAATATTTTTCGGTTCAATTCTGCGTAAGATCAACGCGAGATATGCGAATAACGCTAGAAATTAAAGGATACGATATATTTCTCGTTTATTTTTATATAGTTTAAAGACACCTTATAAAACATAAATTGCTAAAGGCGAGTCAGATAAGTCACTTAAATATAAATTTCGCTATTTTTATACTATTCATGAGGGAGAGGAGAGAGGGGAGCGGGAGAATGGGCGAATCTCGATCCCGCGAAAATCTACTAATCCTTTGCTAATCTGTTTTTTTCATTTATATAAAAAATGTGCACAATATCGAATATATCCTACATACATATAATGTCCTCATACACGATATTGTAAAATGTAAATGTGCTATTTGATGAATGACATTATCATACATTTATGAAAGAAACAAATATATATGTGTATGTATATGCACGCGTATGTACGCTTTAAGAGAATATAAAATTCATCAGCTGCCTCCTCCGCGATAGTTGATTTTTTTCCCCTTAATATGTTATAAGTTGTGTCCCCATCTCACTCGCATAAATATTTCCTATGTATGTACAACAGCGCACATATATATTGTTGTACATACTCCATGGCATGCCAAAATTTAGCGCAGGATGCATTAAATTATTTCGCGCTCTTTGCAACTAATTGCTGCTATATGGATGCCTATGAATTTAAACGCTTTTTTGCACAAATTTGAAGTGCTACTTTCCTAATCTCATATACACTCAGAATAAATTTCTATCTAAACAAAATTAAAAAATCAAAGCTCTTCTCGCTTTCGTTCATTTCCAATTTTCTCTTGTTTATTCTTTTAAATTTTATGTTCTAGTATTGTACATGTGCACGAACTAGCACATAGACTATAGATTAACAAGTGAACAAGCTAGCTGAATGTAGCTAGAACACAATTTTCCAAAACAAGCGCATACGATTGACTCGAGAGATTGGCGGGTTTGCATACTGCATTTAATTACATCACCAAGTATATAATCGCGCTTCTTGCTCCTCGTGATTGAATGTACATGCACCGTACACCATTCTATAGAAAATATTTTCGCAACACACTTTCTCACATTTATATTTCATAAATGTAAAAAATTTTTTGCATTATTTAAGCACATACGCACGCACGCACGCACGCACGCACGCACGCACGCACGCACACACACACACACACACACCACACACACGCGCGCGCACACACACACACACACACACACACACACACACACACACACACACACACACATACATACATACATACATACATACACGCACGCACACACACGCGCACACATACACGCAAACATAGCACATACATACTTTTTTATTTTTGTTTCTTTTTTCTTTAAGTCTCCCGGTTTCTCGTTAGAACGTAAAATTCACTAGATACATTATCAGTGGGAAATAACCTCCTTTCAAGCGATGTAGATGATGACCCACACAGTTAAAACACATAATCAGGACCCGCCATATCTATCGCCCATCGAAACTTGTCTCTCTGAGTCTTGTTGTAGATCTTCTCGATAGGTACATTATGTTTCTTACACCTAGAATATCATAAAAATTCACAGAATTATAAAAAAATGTAAAGCGTAAAAAAATAAATATGAGATAATGCAAAACAAGTATCAAGATATTGAATAAGAAAGTTTATTAATATTACTATACACAAACTCACGCGCGAGCGCATTTGTAAGATAAATGTATATATGGATTTGTTTTCTGTTCCTGCACTAATAAACTAGTGCACACTGGTGCATTAGTACAGGAACAGAAAACACACACCTTACACACACACATACACACATACACACACACACATATAGAGATATAGAGATAAGATACATACATACATACAGACATACAGACATACAGACATACAGACATACATACATACAGACATACATACATACATACAGACATACATACAGACATACATACATACATACAGACATACATACATACATACAGACATACATACAGACAGACAGACAGACATACATACAGACATACATACATACATACAGACATACAGACATACATACAGACAGACATACAGACATACAGACAGACATACAGACATACATACAGACATACATACAGACATACAGACATACACAGACATACATACATACATACAGACATACATACATACAGACATACATACATACACATACATACATACATACATACATACATACAGACATACATACATACATACATACATACATACATACATACATACATACATACATACATACATACATACATACATACATACATACATACATACATACATACATACATACATACATACATACATACATACATACATACATACATACATACATACATACATACATACATACATATACATACATAATAAATATATAATTAAATAAAAAAGAACAGTAAAATAAAATTAAAATTATAAAATATAAATTTTGAAAAAATTAGATGTAAATATAATATATTTTACCATGCAACGGAAATTCTGGGATCAAGATAGTTCAGCTTAGAAGTACCCAGCGCGATCTCTTTGTTTTCTTCTCGATCTGTCGCCTGGACTTCCAATTTTGTCAATTGTTCCTTCAATCTTTCCAATTGTTTTTTCTTCTTCTCGTATGTTCTGTAAAAGAATAATGGACAATTAATTCATGTGGCAGATATATTTACATCATGTCCAAGCCGCGTTATATAAAAAATTAAATATAAGGAAAGAATATTTATAAAAAAAACCGACTTTAAGTCTTAAAAACCGCTCTTGAGCCTCACTGCAACCATATTACGAGTTATAACAGAAATTAAAAGCAAGAAATCATATGAATTCTATTAAATAAAACTGTAAATCTTCAATGCAAAAATCTAGTTTTGTTGAAAATGTAAAATACATGTACTTATTAATGCAAGTAACGAAAAAAAAAATTTCTGGTGTATTTTATTCATCCATATTATCGAACGAATGGTCGCATTAAAAAAAACTTTTATTTTGATGTATTTCGCAAAAATAAAACTTATATTTCTTTCAATATGACATCAAAAGAGACCAGGAGCCTTAAATTATATAAAAATATAAATTTATCAGATATTTATCCCAATAATCTACATACATACGTACGTACGTACGTACGTACATACATACATACATACATATATATAATGTATTGTGATTATGGCTTTTAAAGATTTATATATTTGAAACGATATGATATCTAGAGACTGTATAATAAATGAAAAATTACGTACACTTTCTCCTTTACCGAACCGTGTTTAGCATCCCGTTTGGCGTCCTTCACTTGCAATTCGCACTCGGTTATCGCTTCTTTTTTCGCATCAATTTTTGCCTTCAGATTTTCCATGGATTTCGCGTGCGTTTTTGGTACGGAACGCTGATGATTACATAGTATAGCGACGGCGCGATTAGCCCGATTGTACGAAAGAATCTTCTCCGCCTCCGTGTCATTCGGGTCAGTCAGTTTGTCAAGTTGCTGCTGCAACGTCCATGACGCGTTATAAGTTCTGAACACTTTGGCGGTGAGACCTTCCATTAGTTCATTCAAGTGTTTGTTCATCACAGTAGTATTCAGACGATCAAACAAATCATCCCCTGGTGATTTATTCTCCATAAAGAGTTGCAAGTTCTTAAAGACACGTTTTTCCACCGGCACTTCATTGTAGTATCGTATAGAATCTTTACCTATAAAATTATTTTCTTGTCAACATTACATGAAATCGAGAAAAATACGACATACAATATATAAAAAAAGATAGCTTATAATGTTTTATACAATATACAATATCATAAACAAAATATAAAATAAAATAATGTTCTTTTCGCTGTATAACTATGTCCGACACAAAATACATACTCTGATTAAAGAAGTTTAATCTATGAAAAGTCATCAATTTTTAATTGCTTATGCAGCTTATGAATAACTAAAAAGCTACAAATTTTTTACATATTTAATATTTAAAAAATTAAAAAATTAATTATACAAATTGAAAAAGTACGTTACTGAAATTTAAATCCTGCGTGCGCGTGCGTACATATGTGTGCGTAAACTGTCTCTCTTACTCATAATTTTATGAAAATAATTTTTAATATATATGATATTAAGAAATACAATGATGTTAATTATATATATTAATTTCGAGAGAATTTACCTAAGAAATCGAATATAACCAGATATTCTTTGCCGTCTTTGCCATGCTCGTGCAACTTGATGTGCTCTACTCGCAACGAACAGCAGCCCACAGTGTCCGCCTGATCCTCATCCTTTTCATTACCAGCTCTGAGTGCCAGCTTGTCAATAAAATACAGGGCAACGGCACGTTGCCTGATACGCATTTCTTTGCTCTTCCAATCCTCTCGATACTCCGCACGAATTTTGTCGATCGATTGCGCCAGCTTCCGCGCCGTCTCGTACTTCTGCCAATCCTTTTCGCCTTTGAGTTTGCTGGACGGATTCAGCATCACATATTTTACTTGACCTTGAATATTCTCCGTCCAAGACGCGAGCCATGTAACATTAGGATCGTGTCGCACCTCTTTCCACTTGTGGCCGACCGGTGGTTTTGGTATATTTGAATCTTTTGAACAATTGATGAGCACATCCTCTGGCAGTACTCGCTTCTTTAGCTTGCCCATCTTGGGATGCTCGCCACGGCCTCTAAACAAGCCAGGTGGTTCTATCTTAAAATTGCCAATTTTCTCCTTGTGACCATCGATAGTGCAAAAACCATATTCCTTCTGAATCTCTTCATTCTTCTCCTTAATCTTCTGTTTATCTTCTTTTGTCATCGCCTTGCGTTCTTCGCTCTTTTGCAAGAAGTATGCATGCATCTCTTTAAAATTACACTTGGATAATTCGGTGATTTTGGCGCGTTCCGATTCAGTCATCACCTCCCGCCAATCATGAAAAAAATTATTGTTGAAAGCATCCTTGGTCGTATAGTCATGGTCCAGCATACGTGCATAGAAAGTTGCAACCTCTTCTGTATCCTGACTCAGCTTCATCTCTTTGCCATTGTAATAAAACTTTATACTGGCTGGCAATGGTTCATAGGGCGGTGCAAACACTGGTCCCTTGTGCTCCAAAAAATGCCATTTTGTGCCATCGCTTTTCTTCTCCTCTTCCCACCTAAAGAAAGCATTTAACATTAAATTATTGTTGAGTGACTTTAAATATAGAAAAATTGTTACGATGCAAGATGGATGTTATACATAATATACATATAAAGATAAAAAAACATTGTTACAGATTAGCAAGGTCACCTCTCAAATGGCTGATGTTTTCTTATTTTATAACTATAATTATAACTGCTTCTAGCATTGCATTTTGTGAAGAAATAAATTATATTTTTTATATGATTCTTCATTATATTCTATTATCACATTCACACCTTTTATGAAGAAAAATTCACACATACACACACACACACACTATATACACACATAATATTCGAACAGACAAAGATATAGAGCACAAAAATATAGGTTATGGCACACTGCAATATCCAATATATAGGAACTCCAATTCTGACTTTTATCCCTAGATAATATATATAATAGTGATGCATCTATTGCACAATACAAAAGTACAGTAATAGTATCTATTCTATGTTCCTATTGGTGAATATCTTCTCTATTCCCTATTACTATTGGTGGATATATTTCCTGCACTTTTATACTGGCGCAATAGGCACTCTTATTGAATATCTCCTGCATATCGGATGCGTGCGCAGTTTGGTGGAAGCCTACGGTTTTTGAAACGGTGAAAATAACGAAAGCGAAGAAATTTACTAGAGTAGCTACAATTTCATTTAAAATCTAATAAATTTGTCCACTTTTGTAATTTTTACCTCTTTTCAAGAATCGTAATAGACCTCCAAATATGAATTTGATTTTGAATTATAAAAATAAATCGAGATATGAATTCACACAATGTACAATGGAATCGATTGTGTATCACACAACTTCGTGAGTGAAAATTTAAAAAATGAACGAATTTGTCAATTTAGATCAATAAAGATGTAAATTTTCAAACTCGCTCATTTTTTTAAATTTTTACCCAGTTGAATGATACACAATCAACCCTCAAATCACATGCAGAAAAGAAGTCACTGCTTTAGCACAAAACTTGTAAATTATGAATACACACAAATTACGAATACACTCCGTTTGACACTACTTTCACTTCAAAACGTTTCATTAACCAATCAGAGTAAAAAATTTTGCACTTTAAAGCGAAAATAGCATCGAGTGGAGCGCACCTAATTTTGAATGTTTATACCATTTCCAAACTTCTTGTTTCTCTTCTTGCTTCTTTTTCTCGGACTGGTACTTTCCCCTTTTAACTTTGCAGATTTTTTCTTCGATTTCTGTAATAAATATACTGTGAAGTGTATTTCATAGATTTTTTCCACAGCTAATTCATAAAAGACATAGCGGAGAAATTTTTATCTATACCTCTTCAGATTCTACTTCAGAATCGTCGTCCTCTCCATCGTGTTTTCGTTTCTTCTTCTTGATCTTCGAGCTGGTCATTTTTTTAGGTTTCTTGCGCGCCGACAGAGGTACGTCTTCATCTTCCTCCGATTCGATTTTTCTCTTTAAACTCGGCGATACTTTCGACCTCGAGGACTGCATCGATACACATTTAATTAAAAGATTAAATAATATAAAAATTACGAATAAGTAATAATTTACTTTAAGATGTGATGAAATATTTATACTCTGACACAAAAAGTATAAAAATGATCAACGATAAAATAATTGACAAACTACTTTCTTTTACTTCTGCATTGCTATAATTAAAGCGAAATTACTAATGGTTGATCTTCTTCAGAGTCCTCTTCCGTTTTTAAGGTCGTATTGTGAAGATCTGATAGCCTGGTATCGTTTCCGTCCGTCGAGTCCATATCTTCCTTAACAGCTTCCTCGTCATCGTCCTCCTCTTTAATATAGAGTGGTCGTTCACCACCACTGTCATCATCATCCTCCAGTTCTAATTGCGTCATAGGTTCCTAAAAAAAAGTTTTGCTTCGCACAGTTTCTCTTCATTTTCATAATCTTTTCAATAAACACTCGCGACACGTAATAGCAAATAAAATCTTACTTCCTTTATCTCTAATTTGACTTCATTATAATGAAATCTTTCGTTGGTTACATGATTCAACTTTACATCCGTTTCTTCCTTTATTTTAATTTCTTCCGCATCCTTATCCTTTTTTTCCTTTTCGTCACGATGTTTAGCTAGAATTGGAGCGCGAGTGATTAAGGAAAGTAAAATCAGATATTTACGCAGACATATTTCTATTTTTATCACTACTTACATTTGTCTTTATCATGTCGGTGGCGATCTTTATCTTTTTCATGACGATGCTTATCCTTACTGCTGGACGAACTTTCTCTATGCTTGTCTTTGTCTTTCTCCGACGAACGATGTTTCTCTTTATCGCCCGAAGAATGAGAAGTGGAATGTCGATCTTTATCTCTCTCGGATGAATGTTTTTTGCTCTCCTTGTCCTTCGAGATATTTCGATCCTTGTCTTTGTCGCGCGAACTAGAATTTAAGGAACTACTGTGTCTGTACTTATCTTTGTCTTTGCTCTTTGAGTCTTTGTCCTTAGAACTATTGTGATATCTGAAAGAAACATGTGTATAAATATTTTGCATTATGTATATGAATTAATCATTTATCGTTGATCAATTAATTACCACCTCTTCTCTTTATTTTACCTGTCTTTGCTCTTAGAACTTGAACTCGAACTCGATTTGTGATGATGTTCCTTGCTTTTATCTTTATCTTTGCTAGATGAACTGCTACTCTTGTGCTCCTTGTGCTCCTTGTGCTCCTTATTAGAAGAGCTCTTTTTATCTTTGTCCTTATCCTTATTACTGCTACTATCGTGTTTGTCCTTATCTTTCATAGAACTGGAACTATGTCTGTGCCTGTCCTTATCCCTATGTTCGCTCTTATGATTCTTCTCTTTCTCCTTACTCCTATCTTTGTCCTTATGATCCGATTTATGAGACCGCTCTTTGTCTTTATCTCTATGTTCGGACTTGTGTTCTCTTTTTTTATCGAAACCATTAGACATGCCATTGATATGATCTAGAAAAATCAAATGCAGATAAATTTTATACAACATAAAAACATATTAATTTAAGTTGTATATTTAAAAGTGTTGAAAATTTGGTATAATAACACGCAATAACAAGTATAAAACAAGTCATGTAGATATTAATTTTATTATAAAAGGAATAATAAAATAGACACTATTTTATTCTAAAAAAGTATAGTAAAAGAAAATCAACTAAAATTGATTGATTTACATTCGAAAAACTTAAGTAAATGCTTTGCATTCAATTCATTTTATTGAATCATTTGTATAAGACATGTATTCCGCCAAAAAATTAATTTAAGACGCGCGGATTCTCGTTTAAATTAGTATATCGCGAGTGTACACCCTAAGATGTTATATATAAAAATAAATCATGATCGACACAGAAAATTGAAAAAGGAAGTAGATGAGTCCATGTGCGTGAAATCCCGAATCTTGCCATCCGGCGCTTCTCACGGGAGATGGGACACGTGTCGACTCGCGTCGTTCGATCGGATAATCAGCCACCGAGGTGCTCGCTGATTTCAACTTGACATTCGGTATCGTCACATCCGATCGTTAATGCTTTGTTCGCTCTCTCTCTCTCTCTCTCTCTCTCCCCCCCTCTCTCTCTCTCATTCTCTCTCTTTCTCGCTCATCCGCGCGTTTGTCCTTATAAACACAATCGAGTAAAAACTTACCGCTATGATTCCCGGGGACGTCGCCGCCGCCGTCGCCGCTCTCCTTGGCCTTCTTTTCCTGAAACAGACGAGTCCGAATTGAATTATGAAAAGGTGAAAGATACTATGAAGATTCATGCGTCGATCGGATTTGACGTCTGTGGCCGAGTCGTAGAAACACCTCGATCTCGAGTGCTTACGCCACGATAGAGGACTTAGTCACAGACGCCATTTTGGGACTTAGAAAAATTTCGCGTCGGCACGATCGTGTCGCAACCAAGAGACGAGACCGCTCCCGTGACCGAATATCGCGAAAACGTGCACGTACGGGGTTGCGATGGTTTATGCGTATACGAAATATGTGCTTACCAGGTCCGCATTTATCTGCGACGCCGCTTGCTCGAGCTCCATTTCTCGAGATGAACGGTATGTGATAGACTGTGTAAGCCAACGCGGACGAGAGGGACCAGCGCTGTCGCCAATAGAGGGACAAGAAGCGAAGAGGACTGGACACGCACACAGCTCCAACCGTGTGCAAGTAGTTGTTTGTGTCTACACCGTCCCGTTGTAAAAGCACGAAACTGCGGCCGAGAAAGAGCGAGAGCGAGAAAGAAAGAGAGAGAAAGAGTGAAAGAAAGAAGTTTACTTATGCATTCTGCACCACAACTTGCCCGTTTCGTTGCAAGTCTGCCGAGCGACCACGAGCGACTATCTCTATGCGCCGTGCGCGCCGGAACGTCGCGCACCCACAGTCTAAGTGCTAGAAACGCGCGATCGCGCATGCTCCTGCTCGCCCCGCCTCTTTAATTCCGAAGCACTCGCAACCGAACCCAACAATCGCTTCGCCCGATCTAGCCCGAAGCCAAGGCCCGAACCGACGGAAGTCATTCACCGCGACGCTAAACCGATTGAAAAAACCGGAGTAGTCTCGTACTTACTGTCTCATGACTTATGAACGAGTTCAATTTCCAATTTTCCTTTATACGTACGAAAAAATCTTACGCCATCTAATTCGCGTATTCAATCGATTAATGTATTAATAGCCATAATTAATCAATTTTTTTGAACAAAATTATAATACATTGTATTATTGATTTTGATTACTGATTCATTTCTTGATCAAGAGACTTATTATTTCTCTCTTCTTTTCTTTTAAGTCAAAAGAAATAAGTCTCGGCAAAAAAACCGAAAAAGAGGTTAATTGTCCATTTACAAAAAAATAACGATACAGTTGAAAATAAATTTAAACATTATTTTCAATAACATCAAGATTTTAAAGTAAAAAAAAATATTTAAACATGATAATTTAGAAATTATTCTGTATACACTTTCACCTCTATTGATTTTTAGAATTATTTTATGAGATATTTCTCGTCGTCACGAAATAACTATTTTGATTGATTCAACTTCACACTTCACATTCAATCCTACAAAGTTGCATTCGATTGTACGTTCAATAATTTTCAACATTGGCGCGAAAAAAATTATGTCGATCTTTCTTCCTTTTCGTATATAATAAAATAACAAACAAATTTTCAGATGATTTTCGTAAAATGGTTATTTTTAAGAAATATAAATTAAAAGAAAATTGTTTTCAAGTAATGCGCAATTTTTATAAATTATTTTTATAATATAAATAAGATACATAAAATGGATAATTTTATTAAATCTATCGTTTATGATATCGTGTTTGATGAAAGATAAAATATATAGGACACTTCTTCCTGAGCTTTGCAAGCTAATTGTGTAAATTTTAGATAATTTAATATTACAGAAAAAAATTATTCAGAGTTTTACAAATTATATTTACAGATTATATATTTCCAATAATTTCTTATATATTTTAAGATTATATTTCATATTTATTATTATAAATCATTCGTGTAATACTAAAAAATTTCTTGCATTTGGAAAGAATCAAATCTTAATATAAGTGACAAAAAAATTGTCTTTATTTCAATAATTTAAATTTCTAATGTTTTCTAATGTTTCTTGATGAGATTTTTACATGATTGTCAGTCTCTATAAAACACAACTACAGTTTTACAAGTATCACACGGATGATATCGTACTATAATAAGCCATCTATAGTAACAAAGTTTTTTGTGTAATGTAAAATCAGTAGTCGATAAAATTATTCTTTCGCTGCAATTTACCTATTTTTCTAAACTTCTATGCTTTACAACTTCACATACTCTGGTTTTCCCTCACTGTTCCAGATGGTCTTCATTTTTCGAAACGCAAAGATTGCATATAATGCTGTAAAAAAAATATTTTTATTAAAAATCTAAAGTCAGATTGATCCGAATTCTTATCTTTATCATGTTTATTTTATATTATAATTTTATTAATTTTATATTATAATTTTTATACTAACAAGTAACTTCCCATTCCGACTGCGAGAGAGTGCCGATCTTGCGATGATTGGCGGGCAGGTTCTGCATATATCGAACAGCATGTTGATAGTCTTGCTCTGGATCGCCGAGCAAAGGTGCTTCGTGATATGGCGGATAAGTTTCCAGTGCTTGCATGTTCCCTAGAAGAGATCTACCTTCTTCTTTAAAACGTTCATAATACTCATCAAATCTGAAAAAAGAAAAAAATATTTTTTTTCTTCTAATATAATTTAAATTAAAAATTGAGTAAGTCCACAAACTTTAATTGATTTAAATGCATCATAATAAAAAATTGATTGATTGTGAAATAATTATTTACAAATATTTACACACGAAACATTAATAGATTTAAATAAATATATTCTCGCCTTTCCCTCTCTATCTCCCTCCCCTCCCTCCCTCTTCCTTCTCTCTTTTTCTCTCACCTTTCAAACGTTATTAACTCGAGACCATGCTTTAAAGCCAATTTGCACAGAGTTGGCAGGTGCACTAAGAACTCTGGACAATCAACCACGCCGTCCAAGTGAAAATTATATTTGGCGCCAAAGAGTGGTGGTTTCATCTTGTCCTCGCATATAAATTCGATGCTATATACATCATTGCCGAATTTATTACTATCGCATTTTTGCCATCTAGAACTAGATATTATAAAAAAAGATAAGCATATATATATATATATATATATATATATATATATATATATGTGTTATATTTTTTACATATAAAAAATTTGTGCAATATATACTTTTTTTAGTTGAAGATGGATTAAAAAAACTTTAGAAATTAAAGTCAAAATTATAAAATTGTATAATATATAATTTGACCTAAAAGAAATTTAATATTATTGAATTAATATTATTTCATTATAATTACTTATAACTGTAATTTAATTATAATTATAAATTAGAATATACAATGTATTTTATATTCTGATATATCAAAATAATGATGTATTTAAGAAAAATAAAGTTTTAAAAAACCAGATATATATAAAGAAAAAGTAAAAACATACACTAGATCGTACGCGTCTGGAATGGTTCCGATAAAATAGCCACCAGGCTTGAGACTCTCGCCAGCGTTCCGAAGCATGCATTCCGCTTGCGGTAGGGATTCAAAGCTGTAGTGAAATGCAAATTGGCAACTGACAAAATCTAACTGCATACTGGGATCCATATACTTCTCTCTCAAACGAACCTGCAACAATTCTGATTAACCAAATTCCATTGACAAATGCATTTCTTGCAAAGATTAAATTGCAAATAGTGTGATTTACAAGATGAAAATATATATCTTCTACCTTTGTACAATCAGCTGTTATAAACTCTGCAGTAAAAATGGGAGCAAAACCTCTATCTTTAGAACCTTTCCTGTTCATCATGTCATTGTACCGTTGCTGACACTGTTCCAATGACACTTGTGCTATATCCGCACAAATCAGATGTGAAATATTAGCCTTTTTCCACTTGAGAAGATCTCCCCCCTTCCCGCAGCACATATCCAACACTCTTAGCGAAGCACCGAAATTCTTACCTTGCTTCAACTTAACAACATATTCATCTGTGATTAATAATATAACAATAAGTTAATTCACTTGCACCATATTATCTAATTGATATAAAATATTAAAAAACTGACAGATTTAAATCATAGAATCAATAATAAAAATCAATAACTTAAATTTAATATTTTTGAGATATTTATAAGAGATCAAAGTGGAATTTTAATTTTGACATTTACAATTATTGTAATTATGTAATAATAATTGTTTGAACTCTCATTTTTTTATATATTTATTTTAGATTTCTTCTTTTTGATCATTGTTTTCACATGATCATTTTTTTATTATTAGGTGTTATTTGATATATTTGATGATTAAGATTGATTTTGTTCAATTAACAATTAAAAATTAATACTTACGTATAAGCATGCTTTTAATCCAGTTGTTAAAATTTCTCATGTATATAATGCGACTTTGATTTCTATATGAGAGTCCTTTTTCCTCTAGCATATTATAATGTTCAGCTACAAAAGCTGTATTGTCAACAATTCTGCTTATATTAGAGTTATCACTTTTTTCATTACCTCCAGATATTGTCAAATCTGAGGGAGTACTCACACTCTGCAATAGGAAAGACATCAACAATTCTTAGCATTCATAGCAAATAAATATACATTCAAAAAAACTTACAGCAGATACAGTATCTTCGTCAATATCATGCTTGACCACTTTGGATGGATGTTCACAATCGGATGATAATTTGCGCTTCTTACTCTGAGAGCTCTTTAAATCTATATTTTTGTCTGTTTCTGACATGATTTCCCTCTTTGGCAAAGTGGGACTGCACTTTTCTGTGTCGCTAAAAGTCATATTTTCTTTTTAATTATATGTTACTTCTTTCATATTCGAATAAAAAGTACATGAACATTGTACAAACAAATTAATTAATAATTTTATAAAAAAGAACTATTCACATACATCTATCCTCGATGGGACAGCAATATAAAGCTTTGAAATTAAAAACATTCATTATTGATTTATAAAATCTGTCTATCTTTATAAAATTTATATAATTGTATCATAAAAAAATTTAATATATAGAATTAAAGAAATGTATGTGTGCGTCGTGTGAGCACATGTGAAAAAATGTTATATATCATAAATGTTTTACATAAACATATATTCAATCCATGTTATGCTATAATGTTAAATGTAGGGGGGAAAGAGGGAGGAAGGGGGGAGGGAGGGAGAGAGAGAGAGAAAATATAGGAAATATATAGAAAACCTTGTATGCTGCTTCTCTTCCGTCTTCTCTTTAGTTTTCACATGAAGTGTCGACATGTCAACAGTTCGATATATAGATAGTAAATATAGATATGTATTATATAGAATAAAAAATTATTAGGATGTCAAAAACACGAAAAACACCTCCGGGTCATTCCTATGAATCCTATGCACTTCAAATTCAAAAACACACAAGAACGCGAGAAATGTAAAGTCTCACACCGACGAAAAACGTTTTATCGCTCGTCTGAATATATAATGAATAATGATACACAGTAGCACAATATGAGAATAGCCAAAAATCGGATATAAATTGATATAAATTTTTTTGTGCGCATGCGTTAAAAAAGCACAGACTTTTATATTACTAGACTGTTAACTCCAACTAAGAAGCAGCACATTGCAATAGGGTGCAATCCCATGAAATACCACGCTATACAAAAGCGCAATCAAGCGCGAGCATTTTTATTGGCGGATATTTTTATTCCTATTGGCTGTTGTCTGGCATTGTAAAAGTGCCTTTAGATTTTAGATTTACTACATTATTGTAGACTTGACCTAAAAATCGAATGTACGTGTATGTATATATATGTTTATAGTATCTCTCTCGATCTATGGGCAAGTTTAGGTTATAAAAGTGTAAATATTACGGCAATTTTCGAGTTTTCCGCCTTTCTATCGCAAATTATTTAACTACGCTCAAACGAATCAATCGAAAATCTTCATTTAATTAATGATCTATATGCAATTTTTGCATTGTAAATTATTAAATATTAAATTGGATTTCAATTAGTTACGAATAAATTATTTCATGAATTATTTCATGAATTAACCATACATACATACATATTTCAATTATATGAATTATTTCATGAATTGATTGTACGTACATACATACATATGTCATCAAATAAAATACTAGGTATCTATAATTTATTTCTAAAAAGTTTAAAAAGAATATATTTGCAACATACATATATATATTTGTTATCATGTAACAAAATATTATTATGTCACAAAAAGAAAAAGGAAAAAGGTTTATAACAAAAAATTTCTGGAGAAATGCTTTGTTTACCAGTGTTGCCACTACGCACAAGTGATTGTAAAGAAAAAATTATCAAAAGTTATTATTTTTGTTTAGGTGCCTATGGATGAAAAGAATATGCGCCAAATGTTCATTGTTTTTTGTTTGTATATGTTATACAATATTAAGGATGTAATGACAGAGCACAACTTTGATTAACAAAATTGGTAAGTGATTCTTAATCTCTTACATAAACATATACATATTCTCATCTATTATCTTATCTAGATTCGTCACACATGATGCTCTTATCTATCAGCTTATGTGAAATTCAATAAGAGTTCTAGATAAATAATATTATATTTAATTGGTATGAAAAATCTGTAAAAAGTATTTCTTTTCCAGTTACTCCAAATATTCAAGCTTGTAAAATTAATTCGAGGAGAGAGAAAAAGAAACAAAGTGAAAAATCTACTGTATCTGCTTATCAGACTGAGGCTTACATGCATTTTATCGCTATGGACAGTTTTCCCACACAAAATTATGAGAATAAAATGGAAACATTTGAGACATACAATGAATCTATAGTTACTGCTGCAAATCACCAACGTGAGATCGATCAAACTCAGTCCATGAACAGTCAAACACCTACCCAACAGATGCAAGTGCAAAGTCAGGAGAATCGTGACACATTGGTACTGCAGCAACAACAGCAGACACATCAAATAACGCAGATTCAGCCAAACACTCAACAGAGTACGTCTCTTACTCCAATCAGATTACCCGCTATATTAGATGGAGAGTATTTTACAGTGACCAGAGTAGAGGACACCAATGTTACTGTGCGTTGTCAGCAATGTCAGAAATTGTTGAATGGCAATCTGAAGTCTACTGGCAATTTTCTGAGTCATATAAAGGTAAATTAGAATGTAAATTCATTTTGAAAAAGAAAAAAATTTTATAAAATTATAATAAGAAAAGAACTACTGAAAACATTTATTGATATTGTGTATCTTCGCATTTAATTTCTTTTTTTTTTATAGTTGTGATTAAGTTTAATTGAAATTATAAATCAAAGACTGCATTCAGGCTCTTATTGAATCTTTTCTTATCATTATAAAACGATTTATTATTACAAACAATATATCATGAAAACTTTTATTATTATTATTATTGTAGCGATTGCATCCATCTTTGATTGAGAAAATAAGATGTAAATCTAATCAAAGGAAACCAGCAATGGTATACATCGATTCAGTGTCGCCTGATAAATGTTCTGAAATAGTGCGAACAAAGCGTGTAGTGCTACAAAATAAAAAGCGCTGCAAAACGGTAAGCATAATTGTTCCTCAATTTTTGCTATTTTTAATGCAGATCGACTTGCTGTTTTATATATGGATGCAAAAATTAAAATATAAACTATACATTTAATTATAAATTTTATATAAAATATAAAATTTATTAAAAGAAAGAAATAAAAATTTATGTAGTCAGATTAATTTATAATAATTAAATTTTTAATTGATTTTAAACAAAAACAAAATTTATACTTGTGATTATCTAAATTTTCTTTGGGTCGTTTATCTTTCATTTATAAATATAATTTTATACACAAGTTTCTTTTTATATTTACATTGTAATTAAATTAATATATTCATATATATATGCATACAGGAAGAATGTTCAGCCGAAAACGAAGAATCTTATGATCACCAATCCACTGATTGGAGCGATACGTCACTAGTTCGACGACGATCTGAGGAAACGGAATCTACAGATTTGTCTCTGAGAATACCACATAATAATTCGTTCGTAATGGAGGACGAATATGACGCGATCGGTCGTAATGTCGCGGCGAAACTTAGAAACATGAGATTGGATCAAAGAATAATAGCCGAGAAATTATTAAATGATATTTTATTTGAGGCTCAGCTTGGTAATCTTCACAGAGGTTCGAATATTCATGTGTGAGGAAGAAAGATTTACATGCATGTAAATGGTCGCTCGATATTTATCTTTTAACAAATGATCAATCTCTTGCTTAATAAATTCCAGGCAATGAGATTAATAAAATTATGACATGCATACATAAACACACACATACACAAATGTGCTCATTGTAGAATGAACTACTTTCTGAAAAAAGTAGACGATACTAGACTGTGTTCTAACTTTATTGAAAAACAAATGTTTATATTATGATTCTCCCCTTTCTCTCTCTCTACACACACACACACACACACACATATATATATATATATATATATATATATATATATATATATATATATCAGAGGGTTATATCTTATATATAATCTGTTACGCAATTATCTAAAAGATCATCTTTGGATTTTCAAAGAAAAGATTAGATATATATATTCCGAATTCTCAAAAATTTATACATATATTTACAATATTTTATTCCAAACAACAGTCTGAGAAAATGGTTTAAAATCGTTCAATCGCACGATATTTAAACAGTTGTCTGTTTGTGAGCTGCGCGTACACCAGCTAATTTGATTTTTTTATGGGAAATTCTTATAAATACCCTCCGACTCCTGCAAAAGGGTTGAAGGATAGGACCGAATTCTTAACCGTTAAAATCCTGTGAATATCTTACTCGGGCTGTTTACGCAGGATACCTAACGTGACTTGCATCGCTTCGGAGCTAGGTGACATACGTACAATTCACAATTGTATAAAGATATCCTGATTGTGTGTGTGTGTGTGTGTATGTGAGTAGCTTAAAATTCTTATATTTAAAAATAAAAACTATTGTTACTTAATTTTTCAAGAGAATTTTTCTATAGTATTTTTATTCACGAATTTCGATATACTTCGATATACTCTGTGTTTATATATATATATATATATATATATATATATAAAGTATATATAGAGCCATTCTTTTTTTATATATAAATGTATATAATACTGTAAATATCTCCATAATATACTTAAAGTATACTTAAAGTATATTATTAAAAAGTGAAAAAAACGTGCTGCCTGTGAAGTATTAGAATGGTGCAAAAGATATAACTTTTTACTCAAACTCACTTTGATTTGCTATTAAGATTAACAAGCAAAATCAGAAATTTCTTCAAGAAAAAAAACCGTATATTTTTTCCTACGTGAACATATTTAATGGTGAGCTTACACTTTGATTAATTCGAATTGTACTTTCGTTTAAATTTATATCAAACTCCTTTTGCACCAATCTAATAAATAACTGTGACTATGTCTAAAAGTCTTTCTACACTAATCATTGTTCTACGAATAATATAAGACTGCAGTCACAATTGTAATATATAACAATTACTTATAAATATATGTTTAATAAACATTTTTTGTATGAAATATTTTCTTTTTCAACACTTGAACACAACAAAAAATCTAAATTTTTATTAAAAATCAAAAGATAACATCTGTTAAAATGTAAATAAATTATAGAAAATCTCCACTATGCTTATTACTAACTTTTTTGATGAGATTTATTGATATTTAAAGAAAATTTGTTTGTAATTATAGTTAATTTATATTTTGCAGAAGAAGCAAAAAGAGCAGAAAGTTTTATCCAAAGACTATAGCTTTTTCTAACGGTTGTCAGCTGCTATACACTCTGCATTTTTTTGGCTTAAATATTGCATGATATACCATAGACGAGAGAATACAGAATGCCATGCTGGCAAAAATTATGCAAAATATGTAGGTATACCAGAATCCGTCCCAATCGGCGTTTAAATACCACATTAGCGTTAGTGTTGTGTTCTGCGCTATCACAAAGACATAGTACGGCAATGTCCACCAATCGGCGTATTTGAATTTGATCCGATATTCAATTAGACTGAATATGTAGACCAGACCAAGCCAGAAATTGACAATAAACGTGATCCCGTCGTAATATTTCGAATAATAAAAAAGATAGATCAACATGATGATGTAGTGCACACCTAGCACAGCCAGTAAGGACGCCGGATAAAATTCGTAAGCTACAGCAATGGCAAACACGCGTGCCAGGATAAAGAGAAACCACCAGAGGAAGGATAGAAATTTTCCTATCGGATCATCTTCTTCGAGACCTTTTTCGGAATATTTGCGTTTAGGAACTTTTAGACTCTGCGCACTGCTGCTTATCAGTCTTTGATTCGGTTCCAAAATCGCTGCTGTTTTTGCCGCTTCTTCCTCTTGATAAATGGAATCTGGACGAGGTGGTGCCGGGATATCCGGTACCGGAAGCGACGCGACCGTCGTGATTCCACGAAGCGGCATTGGCGGCGGTGTCACGCGCGCATTTTTCGGTGGTAACGGTGGAGTCACGGAAACTTGACGATACAACGATGCTACATGGGACTGATTCTGCTGCCAGTCATTTTCCGTAACCGGTTCTTCTTCCAGCGATCTTTCCGATGTCGTTAATTCGTGCGACACGACACTATCTTGTTTTTTTCAAATAAGGGTAATGCTTGTAATGGCGCTTTTTCTTCGATATTGTTTAATTCCTAATTGAATAGAATTAACATAGTTTACTAACAATAATAAGTATATTATTTCAGTAACATCAAATAAATATATAATAATGCAAGTAATAAACAAAATTTATAAAGTAAATAATGGTTGCGTAAAGAAGAAAATTAAGTGCAAATCTACTGAAATTGTTAAATCTCTATTAAGATTATACAAATGAATAATAATTTTAATATTATTGGAATGTTATTTCTCTTTTTTTGTAAGTTGAATTAATAATACCTCAACACAGTACTTTTTCAGCCACATTGCCCAAGGAAGTTTTCTACCATTTATACGCTGGCTTTCGAATCTTTGAAAAGAAGCTGTCTCAATGGCCAGTATTACAATGGACATAAAGATGCAGAGCACTTGTACAGTCACTACAAATAAATTATATATACTCATTATTATATAAAAATAATAGATTTTGTGTCATATAAAATAATAGATGTGTATGTGTATATATACTAATATACCAGATTGATAACTGCGAGGTGCAGAACTCTGTCTGAAGAGCAAATGCATTTGAAAAACAGCTTGTGGAGCAGCTTGAAACCATGCTTGCAAGAAGAAGTATAACTCAATGGCTGCAGGTGCTGCAGCTACATTTAATGTTTTAACTCTTGCATCTCCAAATAAATTTATGGCATCCACGGAGAGTACAATTAGTCCTGCATATCTGTAAAAATAAACTACTTTCCCTACATAGCTATTAATTACAATCTATAAGCTAACAAATAAATAAACTATGTAAATATTATCTAACTTATTAATTAAATCAAAAATAATAAAAATTTGCTTATGCTGAAAATTAAGTATTACCTGTACAATACAAAAAACACAAATCCAATAAATTGAAGTACTTGAAGAGCAAACCATCCAACAACACCTTTTGATACTTTATCATCATCTGTCATCCACCAATCTGGTCTTGAAATTGTCAATATAAAGTATGTAAGTGCTGGGGCATACATAATTGCAATAGTGCAAACTCCCCATAATGAATTTTCTTCTTTGAAGTGTTGAATAGCTACTACTAAATCAGCAGCAAAATTAATTATATATATGAAACAATTGATTAATGCTGGTATGAGAAATATTAGATATATTTGCTCGATTGACTTCAATGGAATCTTCATGCAACATGTAGATTTTCTATGGCAAAGTGTAGTGGACTCTGGTGCCATTGTCTTAGAATTAATAAATCTATCTCATTGTTCAGTTTAACAACACATACAAATGCCCTACAATCAGAGCTTTTTCTGAAAAAGAGGAATACAGTTAATGAAAAAAGCAATTAATGCAATTGTAATAAAAAGAGAATATTTTCATTATTTAAAATTGTACATTTTTTAAATACATTATACATTTTTACATACATTTTACACACACACACACACATTACTATGATATGTATATAATTATATATATATATAATAAATGTATATAGAATATGTATTTATTTTAATGTTTTAAAATAATGTAAAATTTTTAATATTATATTGAAAAAATGTATTACATAAATGTAATAAATAATTATAGTTTATACGCACGCACACGCACACAACACACATATACATATATTTATATACACATACATACATATAATATATACATGTGTGTGTGTGTGTGTGTGTGTAATTATATAACATATATTGTTAAAAATGTTAAATATTTATCATAATCAGAAAGAGAAAATATACTTAAAAATAGAAAAATAATAAACAATTAGTATAGCTATATTTACCTAAGATGATTAAAAATCAATTTTTTCGAAAGTCTTTAATTTATTCAAAACATTTCAGCAATAAAACTGCATTAGGTATATATTTCCATGTCGCATAGTCATACATACACTTCATAGTTATATGTTTCAATTTTTCATTAAAATATAGCACAATCATTATTAATATTCTTCCATTTACACTACAAATTTAAATAAAATATATGAAAAATTTTCTTTAGAAAAGAAGTAAATCATATAATGTCACGATTCGTGGGAAATGATGAGAAAGACAAATAGTATATTATATTGTATGTTATATGATTAATCTTGATTAGTCAACACGCCGAACAAACGGGGAAGATAATATTTTGATAAGCTTTTATTTCACAAAATATCGATATCATGTCGCTATTATTACACAGAAAGGTTATGGTCGTTATTTTATCAGTTTTATCATCGTTTATCACTCGTTTATTTTGACATAAACATACGCGGCAACGTGATACGCTAACCAATCAGCCTTTTCGCTTCTACCGGATAAGCTAAATGCGTATCGTATCTCCAGAACTTTAAGAAATCTTTTTGTCCTGATTGGTCAGTCAAACGCTTGCCGCGTCCTGTGTGCAGGAGCCATAATACAGGGTCTACAATAGGCTTGTTTTCTGTTCCTGCACTAACTAGTGCAATAAGTTAGAATGAGACATGTATATTTAGTCTCACTCTAAAGCGGGGAGCACACACTTTTGCATAGGCGCATAAGGCCGGGTCTACAATAGATGTAGTAAGCTCTAAGCCTTAAGAAATTGATCAATCACAGTCAATTATTCCCCTCATTCTTGATTGTGATTGGTGAATTTTTAAAGCTTAGAGCTTACTACATTTGTTGTAGATCCGATCTAAGCGTAAACATAAGAATCTTGATTGGTCTATAAACGTATGCATAAGAAATTCAACCAATCGAATTTCAGTTCTGTGAAGTTAGCCTACCAAAATTAGATTTTCGAAGTTTCAATAATTGGAATCAATAGTTGGTCTTTTATTGATCATTGTTGGTCATATTTTGGTTTTTGTTGGTTATTAGTTTGATTGTTATTAAAAAAATAAATATCAATGTGAAGTTAGCCTACCTAAATATACAATTTTAATAAATTTTAATTAATTATACGTCAAATCGATAGGAAATCGATTGTTGGTCCCAATTATATCTTTAGAAATGATTGTTGTCGGGAGTAACGAAATGAACGAATCCCATTTCGTACTGCTTACTGCTTACTCTTGTACTCGGTACTCCTGCTGCCATTGTAGACCCCGCTTAAGATCGGACTATAAATACAGACCATAAAGTTCCAGTCGCAATGCCAGGCAACAGGCAATGGAAATAAGAAATAGAAAATATTCACCAATAGGAGCAGAGAATAATATCTATTTTCTTTTCCGATTGGTTGATATTTTCTATTTCTTATTCCTATATATTGCCTGTTGTCTGGCATTGTGTCTGGGGTTAAGCGGGGAGCACACACTTTTGCATAAGCACATAAGCATATGCATAAGAAATTCCAATCAATTCATAAGAAGAATAAACCATTTCCTCTCTTTATTTCTATCAGCAAGCATAAAACACAAAAATAAAAGCAAAATATATGCAAGGCATCTTTAGATGTATAAGCTTGATTCTTTCAAAATGTAAAAAATATGGTTGATAATTCATTAGGATTTAGAATAGGAATGCAAATTTATTCGTGTGAATAGTTTTATTAATTAATATATTATGGCCAGTCTACAATTGATTATTTTTGAAATAATCGACTATGGTTGATAATTTATTTACGACTAACGACACTCATTGTAGACTGGGCTTTAAGAATTGTTGAAAAAAGAACGTTCAAAATAAGTATAAAGAAAAATGTATATTTAAATATAAGAAATTTTTAACAATTTTGTTGCATCTAATATCTGTGCCTGAGCTCTTTTGACAATTTTATTTATACTTATTCTAAGTATTTTTCAAAGATTTTTTCAGTCATTAAGTTATTAAAAATTAAATTTTATTTTTGCAGGATCTAGCGAAATTATTGGGTTAATTTTATTGACAAAGTAGTTTTTTTATTTAAAAAGTATTGAAAAAGTAATACAACATTAGGACCTGTGCTTAACATTTTTTTTTGAGAATTATTCAAAGCGTATGTATATGAGAGACAATTAGAAGGCCTTTATTCTTTTGGACTCCATATTTGTGTTTGTATTCCATTCAAATATTGAATCACCAATTGGATATTGTAAGTCTGTCACTGTGTATACACTACTTATGCGACAGTATTTTGTTTTAATCACCGTATTTGTTAGAATTAATTTACAATTGTTCAGAGTTTGCTCCGATAATGTATACTACTCAAATTTATAAGTTTTGTCAGTTTTTGTAACTTGTAAAATATACTTTATAGATTGCTATTAATCATCAGCGATAGTCTCGATATCTTTTTCAAACATCATAACACCGCGAGCGCAACTTCAGCATATTCATTGTTGTATTTATTCGGGTGCAATTTTTGAAGCTTCTTAATCTAAGAACTTAAAATGCATTACTTTAATTTAATCTTACAAATATTAAACATATTTTCGGTTTTTACATATTTTGAACAAAATCTTTAAACTTGCAATTGGTTTTAAATAGAGTAAAAAATATACGGAAAGAAAACAAAAAAAAAGAGAAAAAAAATAGTATACCTTTTTGTATAATACGAATAAAAAGTCTACTTTGAAAAAAATATTGACATGGTATCGCAATGTTGCTATTAATCGATTATTAAATCACAAAAAGTTATTCCACATAAGCCATGCAATGAATTAATCGTTAAACAATTTATGTAATGTAATAGATTAGTTTTTACTTTTCGTGATTTGATAATCAGAACGTTAATAGTGATTAAAAAATGTAATTTCTTTTTATCAGTGTAGATACTAAAATAATTCTTTTCATACATAAGGTACATATATATAAAAGCGCTCGTTGAATGCGTGCTACTTTCCAAGTATATAAACATAGGTGTAATCGAGGAGGCATATAAATGTCTCTCTGGGCTTTTTTATTACTATTAGTATATCATTACTTTTTTTACCAAAGCTCGCCGTCCTTCTCTTTAGCAGGAACTTCGATCACTCGCGGCTTATCGATTATTCTAGCCGTGCGAAGTCCCTTTTCCACAATGCCAATAATCCACGCCTGATAGCCTTCCTGCTTCTCGATATCTTTACAATATGCTGCAGCCTATAAAATTGCATTGTTTACACATATCGTTAATGTTCAATGTACCTTAAACTTATTCGTCAATTGACAAAATTAAATTTATATATACAATTTTCTTAAAATTGGATTTATCTAAATAAATGTACCATATAAGTGAATAATAGAAAAAACCGAGAGGCGAGAAAAAGACAGAGACAGACCAACATCTACATTAGTTGTGATGAATAATCATAAAACTACCATTTCTTTACCACCTTTTTTACACCATCGTCTGCAGATATTTTTATCAATAAACTGATTTACTGTATCACACCGTAGAAAAGCTATTCTTTGGCCTTATGATTTAGGCATATAAGTTAAAGTCCATAATGTAGGCACATAAGCGAAAAAAATATTAAACGCGAATGTGAACGCTCTTATCTTACTAAACTACTAGAATTCTATCTTAATAACAATAAGCTACTCGAGAAATAGCTTTGATAATTAATTAGAAATGATTTACAAACCTGCTCTCGAGGAAGGCAGATAAGCAAACCGCCACTTGTCTCAGCTGAATGGCCCTGCAACAGCTGGAACATATTGCCGCATGCCTTTGCCACTGCTGCCATTTTGGAGATAACAGGCAGATTATGGATAACAAAGGAAACTTCATTCTTTTGATGTTTAGCTAGATTCTGAGCATGTCCTAAAAGGCCAAAGCCAGTAACGTCTGTGGCTCCATGCGCATTATATTTGTGCATCAATCTAGCAGCTAAAAAAATCGATAAAATATACACATTTAATTTCAATTAATATAAAAGAAGGATTTTATTGGTTAATTTTATTCAAGCATTTTTCGATAATTATTAAAGAAAATTATCAATTGAAAATCTTTTCCTTAATAAAAATGATGCAAAAAAATTTTCACCTTTCATGAAATAAACTTCAGCTAATGAAATAAATAATCAATATAACAACTTTGCAATTGTAGGAGGAATACATAAACTAAATAATAATTAACATTTATTTAGTCATAAAACAACCTCCGTTTCTTTACCTGCCATTCTTTAGAGTATCTCTCGAGTATAAGATACTCTACTGTATTGGAGCAGGAAAGATAATATATAATTTGTAGGTTTATAAAAAGAGCAAGGTAAGAGGGGGGAGAAGCAAATTATCAAGAATTTCTTTTAAAATAAAATCAATTTTCAATAAATTTTATACAAAAGTAAATTTAAATGGAATTTTAATTTAAAGCTTACAAAACGTTAAAAATTATAAAATAGTGATAATCGATAAATTTCTCTCAATATCTTCCAATTATTCTTTCAGAAAAATCGAAGGCAACGTTAAGTCAGTAATATATACTATATATATGAATTTTTGGGATATTCTGTATATAAAATAAAACTTTTACATTAATGCACATTACATAATATATATATTATGCATATACCTGTCCTATTCAACCTGGCCATACTATCCATTGCACGTTGATAACCTTTCCTCACATCCTCCTCACTAACCACAAGCTTGATTCTATTCCAACGGTCAGGCTGATCAAGCCATTGATGTGCATTGACGGCGACTTGCGTACCGAGAGGCTTTGTTAAGACCAGAACATCTCCCACAACAGCATTATCTGGTCTAAATAAAAGAATAAACTTATTTGAAATCTAATCTAGTAATACTGGTTAATCATAATTAATTAATTAAAGAATTAACTACATACACGATATATTCATTTGGTTGGCAAACAGTAGTAGCAACACCACCTATAGTACACCAAGGATTAACAACCGTCTGACCACCAGTCACTGTAGTACCTGCTTCTAAAGCAGAATCCTTGAATCCTCTCATAATCAATGGCACAACAACGTCACGCTCTTTCTCCGTCATTTTTGTGCTAACTCCCAATAGCATCAGCATGTTGTCGCAGTCCGTGACACCCATCGCATATAAATCACTGAGGACATTTGCGCAAGCGATTTTACCTGAAAAATATCTCATGATAATAAAGAAAAAATATACTCAGCATATCAGAATTTGTTGGTTTAACGATACTTTATCTCTTTGGCTTGTTGTCTTCTTTCTTACCCATCATATAAGGATCGTCGACTAGCGGATAAAAGAAATCTGTGGTTTGCACCAGACTTAGCCCGCCATGTCGTACTGGTGTTACAGAGGAATCCATGCCAATGCCTGAAATAATATTATAAGCGTTCGTTAAATTATCGTTTTGCATCAAACAATTGAAAAACATATAATTTAAATATTAAGTAAAAAATTATATCTTTGTTATAAATTAAAAAAAAATCCAATTATTATTATATAAACAATATATTTTATCATTATTTATTGTTTCTTTAACAAATATATATATATAATTGTAATTAAAATAATTAAACATGTTTATTATATATACACATATAATAAGACTACAATAAGAAAAAATATAGTGTGCATGTGTTTAAAAAATTTATTGCAAAATGTTTTATATAGAAACACTATATATATAAAAATTCATAAAAATTTTGCATTTAAAATTTAAAAGAATAAATAATATTCCAATATATTAATACAAAAGTCTTATTTATTGTTACAAAAATTTTACCTATGTCTCGATTTTGCAAAAATAAATTTATCGAGATTGAAAATATTGCCATTTCCGGAATCGTGGAAAAATTAGGCGGGAGGATAAAACTGCCATATTACAGCAGGACTGCATCTTGCGTGTTGGACCCCGGATAAAATTAAATTTGAAGAAAACAAGAGATAAAAAAAGTTGTATAAATAATTTTTCGTAGGATAATAAAGAAATATAATGAAAACATAATTAACTCATTGTCCTTTCAACAATGTTAAAATCTGAAAAAGGGATTGTATTGAAAAAATAATTGTTGCGAAAGAGAGAAAGAAAACAAAATATAGAAGTATAGACGATGAAAGATGTCGGGTCACAAGCGCGCCGCAACAGGGGGCTCACTCACCGATACGGGGAATCGCCATGTGCATAAAGTGGGCATGCTCATGATCCTGTGCGGACGCGTCATCGGCCTGTAGTCCCTCAAGGAGCTTCCCAAGAATCTCCTGAGGGACTTTACACCCTCATCCTTTTAGATCGGCGAAACGCGTCAGACGGAAGGATGCATCGAGATCATGCGCCACCGGATCGAACGGTCTACGCAGCGCCAAGGCATTCGGATTCCCCTCGAGCTCGAGCTGCGCCACAGCCAGGGCGTCCTGTGCCCCCGGGGTGCCCTGCAGTTCCGCCATCTTGCCTAAGCGATTCGCCAGAGAGATCAGATCGGCGGAAAGAATCCAGTCGTTTTTACGCCTTTGCCGTTTCCGTCAGTCGCACCGAGTTTTGCCAATGCCAGATCCACAATAATGCCGGACGAGAGAATGCGCGTTTTCTCGCTTCCCGTGCGCCGCTCCTTATCGTTCCGGGTGTTCTCACGCTTATTCTGGAACAACACGGACCTGCGATCGAATTATAATAACAAGACCGCCAAAGGACAGCCACTGAGATCTCCCGCGCGCGAACTCGCAGCAAATGGGAATTATACTGTTCAGCACCGGCGTCGACTTACCGGGACCGTGCGCGTCGACAAAATGGACGCGCCAACGCGGACAACGCGGTAGCGAGGGCGCGAGCGAGGCCCCATTGTGCCACCGCCACGGTGCCGACCGCGCTCTCTGATTGGCTACTTTCGAACGCGCGCACGCGTACGAGCCTTTGCCCGCGTCGTGTCTCGTGTCGTTTCGCAGGAGCGTAGTGCGTGTGTCGTGCTGTACATCTACGCTATACTCTATACGTATTTCACTTTTTTGCAAGTAAGTGTTTTTTTACGACATGCTCTCTGCACGAATAAATGTCGTTACATGATTACCCTAACTTTAAAGAGGATGAATAAAACACTTATTGAATCGATCTAATTCTTATCGTTAATTTAGAGTTTTAAAGAAAAGTAAATGTCCTATTTTTTAAAATGAATTTTACTTGTCTTTGCGATGCGCGCAATATATCATTTTTTAAAGAGTCGTTTCACTGATTTAATCGAAGCATTGAAATAATCGTATAATATAGAGAATATACACATTCGCCCTACAAATTTCAGATTTTCTTGCAAATGCTGTTTATATATTTGTATCGATGTAGGAATGGCAAGCCTTTTTTGCCGCTTGTCATCGCGGATGTTCATATTTAATCCGCATATTTGTTCATATTTAATCCTAACTCACGTGAATCACTTTTATTTCGCACAAAACATCATTATGTTTGTATATATATAATCAATGTGTGTAATAATGTGTGTACAAACATGCATGTATATATATGCCGAATATATAAAACTACAATAAAATAAAAATTATTGTAAAGATAATCATATTAATACTTGTCATATATGTCAAGTGCTGCTAGACACGCAAAATACGGCCAAATAATCGTCTTGTCGCTGACTGATCTCGTCTCCCTTTCACAAAAAGTTTCCCGCGCAAATCGTAGAAACAGTCCGCTCCTTACAAGTTCCTATATAAAATGATCTTGTTTCGAATTTTTGCATGGAATGTTTTTGTAATGTCTTGATATAATTAGCCTTTTGATAAATATTATAAATAAGAATCTTTTTAATTTTTTAAAATTAACATATTTTGAGCATGGAAATCTTTTGGAAAAAATTATTACATTAATATATTTAATGGAAAAAATATTATAGATTTATTTATATATATGTATATAGATATATGCGTCAATATATATTGTGTATAGTGTCGTTGATGCGTGCGACATGTAGTTTCGTCAAATAATAAATAATTATTCGCGGCACGCTTCAATTTAAATAAGATTACCGAGAATTAAAAAAGTTATTATAAAAATAGAGACAAGTAAGTTAATATAAAATCAGAAAGATCAGAGCTGTTTGATAAAGAATAATTAATGACTATATCAATAATATACGTATCATAAAAGTTTGTGAATCATATATTAATATATTTGCATATTATGTTTAAATCAACTGCACTGTAAAAAATGCGCCAAACTATATATACTATCAAGTGGAATTTTAAAATATGGATAACTTTTTTTACAATATAAATATCTTTTTTTTAATATAATAAATAAGTATAGAGGTTACATAAAATGTTGTTATATATTTAAAGGAATAGAAAAAAAATGTGATTATATGATTTTGATTACTACTTTATAATATATATGTATATATATTGATTATCTTATAAATATATATATATGTGTGTGTGTGTGTGTGTGTGTGTGTGTGTGTGTGTGTGTGTTATCAGGTTGAGATTTTGACTCTTGGTTTTACCACTGATGAGGTACTATGTTACCTCGTCGGTGGTTTTACTTATATATTGTTATAGTTTTACTATTGACGAGACACCTATATAGATTTATTAACATCAATAAAATAATATCATTTTAGAATTTTGACTATTGGTAGTATTTATAGTAACATCGATAAAGTAGTTATTTCGATTTTCGACTGTTGATAACATTTGATAATTTCAATATAAAATATATATATATATATATATATATATATATATATAGATTTGAAGGAATAAAACAGCGTGCATGTTTGCTATTTTAAAAACAACTAAATGAAAAGTTAATTATGACTATACATAAAGTTTTACAGATTTTTAATGAAAAATAGTGATTAGATAACTAGCGATTAAAAATTATTCGTCATCAATGATATAAGTATACTATTAAAAATGATGACTGGCATCGATGAGATATTATATTTTAAATTAAAAATGATTATTTCGCAAAAAAAAACTTGCTCGCTTCTAACACTCGAAAATGTCATATGACGTTAGTAAGAAGGAGACCGATTAGCATTAAAAAATCTCACAAAATGAAGAAATATATTTGCCAAGGGCACGCGTACCGAGCACGCGTACGTTCGCACTCGTCTTCTCATCTTGTCTCGTTTCGTCTCATCTCGTCCCGCCTCGTCTCGTCTCACCTTGTTTCGTCTCGTCTCGTTTCTACTCGTCTTGTCTCGCGTCGCGTCATCATATAGTGGTCGTATGTCGTATGGTCGTAGGCAGCTAAAGAGCGGGGAGCGGGGTGGTTTAATCCACAGTCCTCACTAGTCCTCAGTTCAGTCTCGCTCGCGCGTCCGATCGGAATGGATCGAACGCGTAGCGAATAGCAATTGTATGTGATCGATCGGCGCGAGACAGCCGCGAAAGAGCCCACATATTTTGGCCGATATTCGCGACGATAATTTCGCTAGCACATCGTAGCGAATGAATTAGCGTCATCATCGTGATGACGTCTCGGTGGAATCGTCATTCTTAGTGAAACATTGTCATCATTCCTTCCTGTCGATGAAGTGGCCTCAACATGATGCAGGATATTCCCGGTGCGTCTGCTGACGACCGTACCTCAAAATCGGTGCTACTCAACACCTTCGTTGTAAAAAAGAAACGATGTCGCGTGTACCTACATCGCGGTACACTCATCTGGGAAACCGAACGGCCGCCTTACAGTAAGCGAGATTTGTGCTCCTCTTGATGCGCAGGAAAATTTTTACCGAGAAGTTTTATTGAAAATTTATAGACGAAGGATATTCGTGTTGATTGCCTTTCAGGAGTGAGGTATTGCGAAGGTAATCGCGCGAAAGGAATTGGATCAAGGTTGTATTTTAATTAATATGGATTCAATTTTATATATTTCCCAATAGCAAAATTTCTCTCGGAGCAAATTTTTCTCAAAGATGAATAGATTAATTGAATTGTTAGCGTACATTTCTTTGTAGCAACAATATTGAATATTAAATATGAAGGCTATATATTTTTTAACATGGAGTTGATTTTAATTCTTGATGTAATTAAAGAATCCATTTGTTACAAATTAAGTTTGTTCAAGAATAAATGTCCCAGTTAATAAACTTATTATTCTATTAATTAAGAGTATATATATTCCTTTTGTTTTTAATGTTTTTAAACATTGATTTAATTTCAAAATTAATTAACTCGTATAAGAATTGGAATTAACACCAATAAATACATTATTTTTAGAACATTAGATTTTTACTTTATTTAAAAATTAATTAGTTTGTATTGTAGTTTTATCATAGAATCAACATTAAATATATTATTCATCAAAATGATTTGCATATGTACAATAATATTCTTTTATAGGAAATGGAATATTTAATTTAAGAATTAGTTAGTTTACTTTAGAATCGGAATTAATGATGACGTAACACATGATTATACTATTGTATATGCAGATAGGTAAAAAATGATAGAAGAGAGAGAGAGAGAGAGAGAGAGAGAAAGAGGGAGATAAATAATTTTTTTCAACAATATGCGCGTTCTCTTTTTTGCCTTGACAAACTTTTAAAATGATCGATTCGAGTCTTATACTTTAAAGATAAATGGACATCAAATTAGATTATTATTTAATTAAAAGCAATGTGCGTATTTTTTTTTGCAGAAAAGAAACAAATATTTAATTCCAGGGTTATAATTGATTCTTTTTAAAATTATAGTGAGTTTTTGACGTAACAGGTGCTGGTGCAAGTTGATAATTTGATAAACGCTATAATTGTAATAGGTGTTTGTATAAAATTGGTATACAAAAGTTTTTGGATAGATATTTTTAAAATTTTGCTTTGGAGACCAAGTTTGCACATAAGATGAGATCGCGCGCGAAATAAAATCTCACACACTACTTGTCAAAATCAAATCAAGCAGAATAGATTAGATAAACATGAAAATACAGATTAATAATTAAAGTTAATAATTGTTTCAAATGTGAGTTTTGCGTATGGATGCATCTCTCTCTCTCTCTCTCTCTCTCTCTTTCTCTCGGCCAATTGCTCTTAAGACTAATGAGCGCTTATTATTAATACAATTCAAGCAATTCTCGCAAGGTGGATCGGTATGCGACGATGGTTAAATGTGTGATGCACGGTAAAAGCTGTATGTCGATTGTATTTGACCTTGACCTGCCATTGGTACAGCATCTTTTGCGGTATAGTGCTACTTATTATGCTATTTGTTGCGCCAGCAGCGTATATACATATAAGTATATCATCATGCTCTTTTTCTTTTTTTTGTTAACTATCGCGTAATTAATACATTTGGATATTAAATACTCTAAAAGGGCTCAAACGCAGTAAAAAAGCTCAAAATGATTCAAAAAAGCAATTACGAAGAAAAAAATATTAACTAAAAGATTGTTGAAGGATTAAAAAGAATTTTCTTCTTTAAATCATTTGTCAAAATTGTACTTATCTGATTGCTTATCTGATCCCCAATCCCACTTCTGAATATGCCAAGAATGAAGAATTATCAATCGAAATTTTAAGTGCTGCATTAATTTATTCCATTTTTCCAAGAACTTGATTGAATTAATTATATACATTTGAGAAACTTATATATACTATATACTTATTTTAAATACAAATTTTGTATCTTCAAATTTTTATAGAAACGCTGGTCAGCGTTTATTGCGCGCGTATGCACATATTACATTCGCACAAAATTCTTCTTTAATTATGCATAAAAACGAAATAATATGTAATTAAATGATGTTTTCTTATAATCAAAATCTTTACTTATGTGTGATGTCTCGCTTGTAGATTTACTTTATAATTCATAGCTACGAAACATGAGGTAAGATTGGCTATGTTCAGCAGAGGAAAAGCAGCTTTGAAACTATTGTAAAATTCGTGAATCTGAATAGTGTACACTCTTAATCTTAGCTGAATCTAAGAGCATGCACCAATTAGATTCACGAATTTTATAATAGTTGTAAAGCTGTTTCTTTTTGCTGAACGCAGCCAATGATTTAATGAATATATTAACAAGTTTTTGGCGATCGACTCACGTAGACAAGAACACATGTCGATACTCATTCTCGTCCTTGAATACGATTTGCATATTGTTCCATTTCCTTATGCGAACGCGTACTCGTGCTCGTTCGCGCGCTATGAATATTAATGTAGCGATAATCTCTCTTTTTCCTGGCATGGGTGGATGGTATTACGATATATTTTATTTTATGCAAATTTTTACAATTTTATTCTTTAGCTCTTTTTCCTTCGTTTCCTCGTCTCTCCTCGGTCTCACCAAGCAATAAAGTCCTTGTGATTCGTTGGCACATAGCATTAAACAACAACCGTCTACAACTCTGCAACGCTAAGAAGCGTTTCGTGCAGACACGCGAAGAAATACACAAGCAACTCCTCACAAAGAATAAATATCCGACATTTTAACATTTCTTTACTTTTTGCATTAGCAAAGTAATTAAACAAAAATATAAAATAAACAATAAAAGCTAGTTAATTTATATCATGCACACATATATGTGTATAATGCACATACATAAAGCGTATACGCGCGCGAAATGACGTCGTATCATTATTCCAGGTTGATTATTCTATTAACATTTCTCATGGTCTTTGTCTCGAACATAAAGGTTTATAAGACAATGTCGTGCTTGCGTATTATGAGAGTCGAAAGATTCGTGGGAGATAAACCATCGATGAAAATAGTATCGCTAATTTCGCGTCACCGATAACGCGACTCGACACTTTAATAACACCCGTCTTGGAATGTCGTCGCGCGCGCAAAGTGCATGTGGTTGCAGCTGCAGTCTTTCACTTCTCGTCGTTTAGCAATCGTATAATATTGATATTTCTTGCAATGGTATATATTACTCTGGTTAGGAGAAACCTGCCTGCGAGCGAGAAAGCATAGCTTTCTTTAGCATAGCCATATATGGGATATCACCGCATCTATTTGCGACCTATACGGCGTACATTTTATTTTTTTGAAAACTTTCGCAAAAATGTTCATTTTTCCAATTACTATTCTCGTTCTGATTGAGTAGTTTTTATAGTAAAAATTGCTGTTGTAAAAAATTACTACATGTACATACACACAACACACATAGGTACACCCGCGTACGCGTATAGCTTCAACTTACGTAAAGAAACGCACTAACAAAGTGTGTCGATCGGTAAATTGTTTCAATTATGCAAAAAAAAAATTACTCGGACAGAGTCATGTAACTAATTTGTACCTGCCACCTTAAAATTCATATCTTTTTTTCTACGTCATCTTTGTGCTATTGTCGAGGAGAGCTGCTTGTGCATATGTCTGCACGAAACGCTTCTTAACGTTTCGAGGTATAAACATTAATGTAAACACATAAATGTACACGCAAATGAGACGCGATTTCAGCACGAAACGCATGGTTATGCAAGTTCTGTCTATATTTCTTGTGCACAGGAAGCGCGAGAATTTCTCGTTTTCACGATTGTTTTCTCTTTCTCCTGGTCTGTCTCGTTTGTTTGCTTTTTATTTCTGATAAAAACTGAATCGTGGCGATTGAGTTTTTGTAAACAGCTTGTGCAGAATGGGCGTTTTAACTCGGTGAAAATTACAACAATCAATTGTTACCGAATTGCTCACGTTAAACGTGGTACCTATTATCTTTCATAATTTTCCATCAATCCACGTTAATATCACATGTTATATTAATTATTATAAATTCAGCAATTAATTATTATTATTATTAAACGTTAACTATTATATATCGTGCCAGTTTTACAAAACAATTAACTTATTATTATTATTATTAAAGAGATTTATCAAGAATTATGCTCGGCATTGATTCTTAGTATGAGGAAGTATGAGGAGACAATAAATGCTGTCTCATATAAGGTCGATCGCGATACACGATGCATACGTCAACGAATCGATCTTCAACAACAACTGCTCGTTAGGCATGTGATAGGCATAGCAATCGCGTGTTCGATATTGTTTTCAAAGTTACGACTCGTACGAATCTCTGTAATAAAACGGCGAGAAATCAAATTACCAACTAAAAATATATTTCGCACGTGTACTGCGTGATGCATGTATACGTATACACATTTTCGCATGTGCGTCGCTCCAAATCTTCGCTCTGATATGATTATCTTATAAAAATTTTTACTGTTTATATATCATATTATATTTAGAGTTTAGAATTTTTCTAGAAATATATTTTTTAAATTAAATTAATTATAATAAAAAACAAAATTACTTACAATTAGCATCTTACGTATACATGTACACATACATATACATACAATTAGATAATATTATTTGTAAAATGTCTGTGATAATATATGCAAAAACATGAAAAAGTATAAGATATAATATACAAAGCATAAAAATTTGTGTCTATATATTCGTTTCCTAAATTTTTTTTCTGTATTTTTATCCTTCTTATTATAAAAAAAGTTTTGTGCGAAATTTTTTATATTAATAATATAATGTTTAATCAGTTGATAATGTTTAATCAGTTTCATAAGTGGATACCATATCTCTTTGATTTGCCCGCTTCTTAAAAAATGATGTTTAATAATTCCGAATAATATATAATGCTATAATGATGCTTAGTTAATGCAACGCTATTAAAGTTTCTCTACTTGCGCCGAGAAAAATTGTCCTAAATTGTGACTGATAAATCATTGCACGTAACGCTTACCTATATTCGTCGAGAGAAACATTACCTTGGCAAATGATAAGCATGAGATAAAAGCTGATTTCTAACAATACCGCGCAATTTATCGACAACAAGGAGAGCTATAAAGAGTAAGATAAGAAAATATATCCTGCAATATTGTTTTTACATGTTAAAAAATGTAAGAAAAATGCGTCAAACGGAAATAAATTTGTTTATCATCTATTTTCTCTCAAAGCTCAAATAACAATCTTACTCTTTTTTTGTCAACTACGAATGATAATAAAATTTCCATTTGTGTTTTGGAAAATTTATGTTAATGTCGATTAAGTTTTGCAAAATATTAAAAAATTAAATGATCCAATTTGTAGACATAAAATGAGAATTTTATATACGAGCAATTTGTAGTTTTACTTATTTGGATTCTTACGAAAAAAACAATAAACCTGCTGACTCGAGAGATTCCTCCTTCAAAAATGTAACTTGATTTGCTTTGTTCTTGCATCTTGACAATGAGATGCAAGCGCATACACCTGCACTCTATACGTAACTAGAAATATTGCGCAACATAATACCCACATATATACGTACGTACACATATACATACATACATAGATAACATATATATACACGCACATATATCGAAAGTCCGGTCTCTTTCATTTTCTCTCCATTCACTTACAAAGCGCATATTGCACGCTTTACTTAGAGTTAGTCTTCTTAATATAGTAGAAATATATAATATAATATTGTATATTGCGCACATACAGTAAAATATGATAATGTATAATAATAATAATAAAAGTGTATAAAATCTCTCTCTTATAATTAGTTCAAGCATTTTTCCAATAGTAAATCATAATTATTAATATGTAAAAATTAATGCAAAAATTATAAAGTGTTATTGACAAGTCAAATACATAATTATCAAATATGACATTGAATCAATTGTTTTATCGGACCTTAACGAGATACTTATCTGACAATTGACTATAAGTGTGTGCTGGATATACATATTCGTTAAACGTATATAACGTTTTTTAAAAATATATTTTGCATATTTTAAAGATCATTTACCTAATTAATTTATATACCTAAATAATTTTAATGTCACGATTAAGGAAAAATAGAATACCAAAATATACACATACCCATATATTACACATATATCTTTTCAATCTAGCAGACACAGTAGACAAAACGATAGTTTTAAGACGAGCCTTCTTTTTATTTATAAAATTTCTATGATAATAATATTGTTTTTCTTTTTTCGCTTCTTTTCTCCAGCCAGATGGACGCTGCCTTTGACGGACGTTTTGGCGGTGCGCTACGGCGATGACTGGATACCTGGTTTGAGCGTTAAAGAGAAACAACCGACCTCATCGACCACGGTTTGTCCGACAAATTTCATTCTGCATTACGCGGCTCGCGGATCCAAGAACAAATGGCGACACCACAGCGTGACCATGAGCCACACGGATCCCAGACAAATCGCTTCGTGGGTGAAAACCATTCGAAATCACCTTTTAGGTGAGCTAATTGTGCAATTATTTCTTTACAATTGTCGCTTTGAATTTTGTAATATATATATATGTATATGTGTGTGTAAGTATGTATATGTATGTATGTATGTAGAGTGTAGAGAACAAAGTGTGACGGCGAAAAAAAGGAAGAGCTAAGGGGATAATTTTCAATATTTATTTTTATCATCAAAATAATTTAGTCGTCATTCAAAACTACCGCTCAATAGTATTATTTTTAGGAAAAGAAAAGGTCGACTTTAATCGTTGAAAAAAATATGTAACATTTAGAAATACTTTGCTTACGATGGCAAAGCAAATGCAAGGCTGCAACTTTATTATTTTAGTGATATCTCGAAGCTGACTTGTTCGACATGCGTAAACGATAAAAAACTTTATTACGTGGCTGTAAGTAAATAACTGGAAATTTTCTCATCCATTTATTTATTTGCTCAAAAAAGTGTAAAAGCAAAAAACACGATTGAATGAGGAAAACAATCAATCAAAAACTAAGAAATCAACGTAATGCATAAATTAATATTAATTTGTTTCTTGTTTATATAAGAGAAAATATTAAAAATATAAATCTTAAAAATATAGATTTGAGATTTACAAAATTTATTTAAAAAATTAAGTCACAAAAGCAAAATATATTATTTTGAATTGAATATTATTTCTAAATTACGAAATTTGAGATTTTTTATCATCTTTTTTTCAGTGGTAGAATGTTAAAGATTATAGAAAAAATATTTTTATGTAAAAAAGCTGTTTTTTATAGTCATTGTGTTTTTATGGACTATTTTTTAATCGCAGTAATGTTTAACTGTCGGAAACATAATCTAGCAAAGTCTAGCTAACCAATTAATCAGTTCATGTGCAAATAAATAAATATGCATCTAATTTTCCATATGTAATTTCCAATTAAAATTGCTGTTATATATTATCTTTCGCTATTTATCAATTTCTATTCGCTCTTTAATTTTGTTATTTTTCAAAATTTTAATAGTTTGATTTATTACTTCGCTTAATAAGAGCATGGTGAAATAAATTACGCGAGATGCAATTTCTTGTCTCGCTCTTAGTAAACAATACTACACTATAATTTCTAAAATTGACGAGGGAGAGGGTGAGGGGGTCTTGTTTTAATAAATGCCAAGAAAACAGGATGGGTGCGCTCTACTAAACTACCCTTGTCGACCTTTATCGCGAACCAACAGTTACAGTATTGATCTGAAGTTTTGCCGTGCTCGCTTACAATGTCATTTTCGTAAAAAAAGCCATTCAATTATCGACATTACGTTTGCATAGAAGGAATCGATCGACACAGTTTGCATGATTAAAAGTCTGTTTTTCCTTCGAATCTATTCGACCCATTTCCTTTTGTTAAAGAGATAAAATCGATTCAAATATATGTGTGTATATGTGCATATACGTAAATGGAAGTGCATGCCCGCGCGTTTGTGTGTAGAAAAGAAACAAATTTTTTGATCAATTAATTAAACAATAATTCATCCGCCCTAATACCTACTTGAAATTTCACATCTTGTAAAAAGTCCTTATTAAAAAACTTATTAAAAAAATTTTTTTAATTCGATTTATCGAAATTTAAAGATTATTATCAAAAGTTCTGTGACAATTTTAATATTTAAATATGAAAACTCCTAGAGTTTAAAGAATTAAAAATCGAATTTTATTTATAGCCGATTGTTTCAGGTCTTACGTATCGTCCGCGAAAGGTGATGCTGTTCATCAATCCTATAGGTGGTAAAAAGAAAGGCGTTAAAATCTGGGAAAAAGATGTGCAGCCACTGATGACCATCGCTGGTATAGAGACAAAAATGATGATCACCGAACGGGCTGGCCACATTCGTGACATTTTGCTGACGGCCGATTTGAGTGACTTACACGTGAGTCATGTTCTTTCAAGGCCAATGTTTTATTATTTTCGCAAAAATCACAAATCTAAGTGCAAGTAAAAAAATGTATATTTGTATATATTATATAAAACCAGACTAATGTATACAAGTTATATATATGTATAAGTAAATTTATACTTAATTTATATACTTAATTGTATAAATGCATATAACTATTTATTATTTATATTACTATAATTACAAAATCTAAAAAATTGCGTAAATTTAAAAATTTTAATTTTAATAAAATCGATAAATATAAATAAATACTGCATAAATGCAAAATTGCTTCATCTTGAATCGATCCAAGCTATTTTCAAATTCTCAATCAGTTTTGCGATGCGTTTTAGGCAGTAGTGTGTATCGGCGGTGACGGCACATTCGCCGAGGTATTCAATGGGTTGATTTTGAGAGCAATCAAGGATCAACAGATCGATCCCAACGATCCCGACGTGAGACTGCCCAACCCTGTTTTGCCCGTTGGCGTTATACCCAGCGGTAGCACGGATACGGTGGCCTACAGTCTGCACGGTACTACCGATGTGCAGACCGCTGCTATACACATCATTTTTGGTGATTCAATCGGTCTAGACATCTCATCGGTCCACAGCAATCGCACCTTGCTCAGATTATACGCCAGCGTGCTCAGTTACGGTTATCTAGGCGATGTAATTCGTGATAGTGAAAAATTTCGCTGGATGGGACCCCACAGATATGATTGGTCCGGTAAAGTTGACAAATTTCCATTATTTCATTTGTAGCATTTAGAGAAAAATTTTTATACAAATCTCAAATTTGAATTATAAAGTAATATATTTGTCTAATCCACATCAATTATTTAATTAATGAATTAATTCATCTATATCAATTTAATAAATATGAGAAAAAGTAGATAATCTAATATGTGCGTGTGCAATATGTGCTGTTTTTATATATATTAATTAATAATAACATATTACACACTCTGAGAACATAAAATATATAATATTAAATTAATTACATTTTTTCAGGATTTAAAAAGTTAATAGCAAATAAGGGTTACAAGGGCGAGATCGAGCTATTATCTGATCCGTGTCATCCTGCCAGTAGCACTAGATGTATGAAAAACTGTTCACGCTGTTTGCAACACATGCATAATAGCATTCCCGACGAGGAAATCGCCAGTACGTGTTAAAAAATTAATAAATGTAAAATTTGAATATTGTATAATAGATTTAATAATTAAAAAATTGGATAAATTTATATATATATATAATATGCTTTTCTTTTCGCGAGAAGGATGGGTGACAGTCAGTGGAAAATATTTCATGGTCAGTGGCGCAAACGTGTCTTGCGCCTGTTCGAGAAGTCCTATGGGCTTTAGTCCTCACTGTCACATAGGTGATGGCTGCGTAGATGTGATTCTAATTCGACACACATCTCTGATAAACAATATCAGATTACTACTCAGACTGTCCAGCAAACGAAAGACTCTGGTATGCGCGGATCACTTATTCGACCAATTAATCGCTAATTCTTTTACTTGGCTCTCTAACTGACTGTGGTCGCTAAATCGATTAAAACTTATAGGCAACCAATCAAAATTGCCCAATATTTAAATAGACAGTTAAATAATATATAACAAAAATTAAATAATTATATATATATATATATATCAAAAACTACACTATAATATATGAAATTATTTTTAATTTGCAATTGTAATGTAATATAATACATTTGAACACACGGTGTGTAATTATAATTATAAAATACTTCAGAATTTAGAATATATATCAGGATTACACTATTTAAAATGTCAAATCCAAATTATTTACGTTACAATGTAATATACTCTATTTTTTTAAACATATGTATAAAGCCTACAAATTAATCTTTATTGCAGTACGAGCTACCGTTTGTCGAAGTCTATCGAGCGAGAGAATTCACATTCCGCGCTCTGCCGACACCGCAATTCGAAAACGAGGTGAACCAAGTCCGTTCAAACTCTCGACTCAGCGTATGGAACTGCGACGGTGAGGTGCTCGACAACACTAATGTGAAAATCAGGCAAGTAAACAACACGCGATAGCATCCCAATTATTAGTACGCACGTATTATGTAATCGATATTTTGATCCTTCACAATCAGTGCATGTGTGTACAATCGCATTATTAACTTGTCTAAAGATTTTTGGCTAAAATATTTGTATTAGTTAATTAAAAGCTATATTTAACGATACTAGTGGTAATCGAGCTAATACGAGTAAACGAGTATGTATCTTATTAAAGTTCTGAAGGCGTTAATAAAATAATAGCATCTTGAAGATTCCCTCTGCGCGATAGTATTTTGATTTGAAGCGCTTAACTATCTAAGAGCCAAATTAAACTTTACACTAAATTGCTAAATGTATCTATATTACGTACAGAGTACACTGCCAACTGCTGAAGGTTTATACGAGACAAGCTCAAGAATCAACTCGAGAATCGGCCTGCTTCAGTTGTTCCATGTGAATAAGCTAAACCGGGTCGTCGAACGGGGTCCGGACTTTAAGGTCGCGATCCCGTTGCACGATATTCTTGAAAGCGTTAAAGTTCCTTTGTCTTGCCCTGTCGTCCATCCTCGCGAGATTATCTTACAGTATAATATATATGTATTAGATTGATCAAAAAAGTTTGTTCGTTGCTTTTCTATACATTATTTTTACTAGAAAAATGAAACATAAAAAGAAAGAGAGAAAGAAAAGCAGACTTTTTGATCATGCTAATATTTCCTAGCATATACATAACACAAAATAATTTGTGTTGCGTAACATTTTACATTTTTTCACATTATTTTAAAAAAACAATCTTAGATAAGACGTTACTTTTAGCTCTATTATTGATACAGCAATACTTTGATTCACATCTATATATAATTTCGTATACAGAAATTATTTAACTTTTATTTCATGATTTGTGGCCACTTTTCGCACGTCTTTCAAGAGTATTGAACATTCCATCTGCTAGAGCGCTATGTAAATTTTAGTGACACTGATGAATCAATTTTACATATACGTCGGATAAAATACTGTCTAAGATACGAAATTTGGAAAAAGCGGTGTATCACGACGTTTGCTTTATTTGACTTGTGCGACATTTGTAAATAGAAGCAGATTTAAATTGAAATTAGTTGCGTTTTGCGTTCACATTTGTCGATTACATTCCGTGCTAATTGCGCACACATTTATCTGATAAGAGACAAATCAAGGATACCGAAGGATGAGAAGATATTGTATTCAACGCTTTTTTAAGCGCTTGCATACACAATTACAATCATTTTTTGATGCTATTTTATTGGTAGCATGCGTATAAAAAGAAATATTGCATCTTCGCAATCTATATAGTTTTTATATAGTTCTGCATTTAATATATTCTCTCTCTGTTCCTATATATATTACAACAAGCAACAAAAACTTCTCGGAATAAAAAAATCTATTGTAAAAATAATTTTTCTGAAAATCGAAAAATTGCAATCAAAAATTTGTTATTGAGTTACAGAGCGGGACATTAATTAAAAATTCATTCTGAGATTGCACATTTATCATGATTTCGCGATGCAAAAAATTACGATAGCATAATCAGGCCGATTGTACTTTTACATTTTGTACTTAAAACGTTTTGTATTATCAATGCTGCATAGCAAATTCAAAGTGTAATATAGAGAAATTACTTAAATTTATTACACACGTATTATACATGATACTGTAAGTTTATTCTGGCGATAAATTCGCGATCCAATAGTAAATGCAATATCGTAATGAATCGAACTAATAATTGATGCGTTACCGTGTGTATAGGTGTGATTTAAGCGTAACGCAAACGTTCTCATAACTCACTAAGCTTTTTCTTATATTTTTGATAATTTTTCGTGTGTAAAGACAATCAAGATGCAAAGATGGTGCTTGAATGATACAGGGAGATTTTAAGCGTTATTATGAACTTGTTTTACAATCGGTTTTTAATTATTTTTAATAAAGTTTTTAATCATTAAAAAATTAATTATGTCGAACGATAGTCGTCTTTATTCGCGAAAGTATTTTTAGATATTTTTAAGGTATTTGTACATTATAATTATAATGAAAAGATGTAAAAAAAATGAAGCATAATGAGACGTTAATAATTTACGAATTGAACCGCGAATATATGTATGTATGTGCAAATGTATATACTTTGCATGACTGAAAAAATGCAAATCAGAGCTAAAATCCAAATAGGTAGAAAAAAAAATACAAAAAAAATGTATTTTTGATCCAGCTCTTTTCCCCGTTTGCTCTCTACCGAAATATGTATATTTGCCTAAACGGCTTTGCGCGTTTTATTTGACATTTATGGCATTTAAGATTCTGACAAACACCTCTTGTACGTTGCGTAGCGCGATACATTCGCAATTGATATTCGCAGAAAATATTCACAAATGCGCGTGATGTTGTACCGCATGTCTCCTATCTTTAGTATTTTATGCAGGTGCTACTTTGCGTTGTGAAAAATTGTAGACATACCTGTAGACCAATATTTTTCGCTGCAAGCGTCAAATATAATTGATACGATAATAGCGAAGCAGCACAAACAGTACTATAAGCACAGTCACGTTCTATTCATATAGTTTTAAGTATAAAAAATTCAATGGTGCTATAACATTCGTGATTGCGCTCGTCTTCGCTCGTAGAAACGTCATGCAACTAGGAAATGACACACATGATCTATTTTATGCAAGATTAGAATTTGAGACAAATTCTTTTTTAAGATTCTTTGACGTAAAAATTACATCGCAAGTTTATGCGCAGGTATTATTTAGTCCTTTAAATAATAACATATCATAGGTTTAAACACAACTGTATATAAGTCCGCAAGAGAGTTGCTCTCTATTGCGTATTTTGTCTTGCAACGTATTATTAGCGCGATTAAATATATATTTTCTTTTTTTAGGGAGGGGGGGACGGCTTAAACTTAACGTATTGTCAAAATAGTGTCGTCAAAGCAATCCTTCATGGACGATGCCACTTTGATCACTACTGAAATTTATTACTAAGATATTTTGCAGACATGATACCAGAAACAAATATGTAAATATATGTACAGATATGTGTATACATACATATTAAATGTATGTACAGATATATGTATCTATATATATGTATATATATATATAAATATATATACATACTTTTTAATCGCAATGTATTTCTAGAAAATGAACGACAGTACAGCGAATCAATGTGATGACCTAATTGACCAGCGATCATATACATGTACATATATCATACACCCACACCCACACATACACACACACACACGCGCGCGCGCAAACATAAATTTTACTTTTTATCGTTGAAAAAGTGCACCAAAGGTAATGCCCGGTTGCACAGAATAAATTATATCTTTCTATGTATATCATGTATTTTATATTATATATATCCCAGTTCCCCTAATATAATCTATTGGTGTCAATTAACAATTAAATTTTTTTATATGACAAATATTTTTTAAGCCATGTAAAGATATTGAAAGAATTTAAATTATTCGACAAGTTTATTGATATTTAAATTATTATCAACTATATATTTTCTTTATGTACAAACTAGAGCTATCTACATATGTGTCAGTTCATTATATTATAGTGAATCGGTCACTCACACTATACTACACTAGTACACAATTAAAGCTGTTATACATCAAGTTATTTAAATATAAAAACAATAAACATTTTTTAAATGTCCAATAATGATATTCTTATTTAATACAATAATGATTCTTTATATGTTAAATAACAATATCATTAATTTCGTTAAGTGTTCGTATTAATGTCCTTCGATGTATAATACATTAATGCAGTGTAGTGTGGATGACCGAATTCTATTAATTAGCATCACTATGCAATTTTTAATAGTCTAGCTATTCATACCTTTGACATTAATCTTTTGAATGCATCATTTCATTCTTGTCATTTGCAGTCTCAATGTACATATGTTCCTTGGAAAACGACGCTATTTTAAACATTATCGGGGTTACAGTCAAGATAGGATTTTGTTTCTGCAGACATCGTATCCAGGACAACAAAGAATCTTTTGTAGATGTACCTGTAGCACACATTGCAAAGTATGTGCCATCATCTTGCTCATGAACTGTAGGAGCAAGGATTATTTCTTTTTTATCCCAAAAGGGAATTCTAATATCCGACACATCTGTAAAAAAGAAAAAATGTACAATATTTGTCTATTAAAAAGTCATGCTTATGGTTAGATACTTGAATACTTGTATACATTTAATTGTAATACAAAATCTCTATATAAAATTATACGTGTAAATTGTGGTCTATTGTTAATCGATGGACAGTTTAATTAGGAATTTATTCCTCACCATCGATATCTTCATATTTTTTCTTCATTCTGATTTCTCCTCTCAGTACAAAATAATCTATACACTGATCCGCAACCCAAACTGTATATGGTCCTTCGACAAAAATTGGATTGTTAGGAGATTGCATTTGCAATAGTCTCTCTTGCAAGCTGCTCATGGCAGATATAATCCATGTGTCCTCGATGGAGTCTTCTATGTCCTTGGTCTTAAACTCTGTGATCTTAGTCTGCACATCTACGCTAGAAATCTTACTCATTGCCAATCTTGCAAGTACTCGTGGATCCTTGGGTACTGGTCTGGGGCAAGGCCAAGGATTTAAGTTGGCAAACTTGGGCATCCAGTACATCATTCTCCAAAACTTCTTTAGCGGATCACCGTGTTTTCCAAAAATATTTAGTAGCATGTCCTGCATTTCCACGTCTGGTATCACGCAATTTTTCTCCATTTTGCACAGCAATTCGACGGCTACGTGCTGCTGTTTAGGATAATGCATAACCATTGTTTGGAAAAAGTTGGTGGGAATAAATTTACCCTTGGGAAGCACATCCAACAGAATTTTATACACGGCTAAATCTCGATTCACTCCAAAATCATCCATATATTTGAGAGCGACTTGAATAAACTGTACGTGACCGCGTCTAAGATCGTTGTTGTTTTTATATTGTCGGATTATGTCTAGATAAGCCTCCTTCTCCTTGCTCTCGGCATTCGCAAAGGCCTGAACGACAAGAGCTGATGGCTTTTCATTCTTTTTGTCATTTTTATATCGAAATCCGCTGGTATGAATGACTTTACTCGTCCGGCTCAACGCAGGATCTGCAATCTTATTTAGAAGCGATTGTTTCAACAATATGGGGACACCCCGTATTAAAACGTCCCTCGTGATCCACGAGAGCATATTAATCGTATCCCTTCAAACTGTATGACACATTATTCTTGTTACGATTGATTTACTCGCCAAAGTAAATTGCGTTCGCGAGATTATTTTACAGCGAGCCACTTAACCTCTTTCAACCTTCTTTTCATACCGCGCGCCGCGGACCGTAGATTACATAGAATAGAGACATAGATCGGCCCCTACCGTAGGAGGCAGCGTTGAAAGATCTAAAGGACAGAGAGCCCCGGAATCATCTAGAGGCCGATCTATGTCTCCTATATTTATGGATCATGCTTCGTTACGGAATAATGAAACTTCTCTGATAAATTGCGAAGAATGTTCATTCAATAATAATTACAATGAATGAGAATTTGGAAAACATCAATCCAAAACTCTACAAAAAATTGAATGACAGAGAAATCACAGCCGAAGAGCAAGACGAAGATGTTGCGGATGCATTTGACGCAAGAGAGATTTTCGGTATATAATTTCAATCTTATCAATAATTTACTTTTGTTTATCTAAATTATGTGAGTGCAATAATTTATATAACTAATATACATCTAATCGCATTCTTATAATAAAATGCATAAGATGTTTTATCAGTTATTATATTGGATATTTTCTCATTATTAATCGGAAATAAAATATATAACTTTAGAATGTATTAACAATAAAAAGTATCTGTTTTATTAATCAAGTATATCAAGTATATTTGATATTTATCTACTGAATAAAAAGAATAATTATATTTGTTAATATCATATTTAACACGCGATACACAAACTTAATATATTATAAATTATATAACATTATATATGCATGTATTCTCTAAATGGAATAGAATCTAATATCGATTACTGATTTGTAGATATCATTAGAAACATTAATGATCCAGAACATCCTTTAACTCTGGAAGAATTGAATGTAGTAGAGCAGGATCTCATTGAGGTAATATACATATATATATATATATATATATATATATATATATATATTGTTTTTTTTAACAGTAATAATAGTGTGAATTGCATTACTACAATTGGAATTTCTAAACATTCAACTTTATAGGTTGACGATAAAGGAAACAGAGTGGACGTAAAGTTTACACCCACCATACCTCATTGCAGCATGGCCACTTTAATTGGATTGTCCATTCGTGTACAATTGCTGCGTGCTTTACCTGCTAGGTTTAAGGTCAGTGTGGAAATTTCTCCTGGTACACATGTCTCGGAGGAAGCAGTGAACAAACAACTCGCAGATAAGGAAAGAGTGGCTGCAGCTTTAGAAAATTCCATGTTACTTGATGTAATCAATCAGTGCTTAGCTCCAAAAAATTAACATGTATAAATTTTAAGATTTTTATCTTTACAACAACGTATACATAATTTTGTTTTACAAGCATACACACACACACACACACAATTTTAAATTTCTCTTCTATCATAAGTTTCTTTCTAAAAAAATTTGTACATAATTTTGTGTGTATTGTATGTAGTTAAATATTATGAGAGAGAGAGAGAGAGAGAAAATATATTAAAGATTAAACTAATAAATTTAATAATGTTAATATATATTAAAAAAAAAGAATAAAACGAAAGGAGAGCAGATTCTTACAGAAAGGTATTTATTGTATACCGACATATTCTCTGTCAACATTTATTAAATAAAGTCAAAATAATATAAATATATTTTTTATGGGAAACAGTTTGAATAGATATGACATCACATCGTTATAAAACTCATCGTGTTTTGTATATGCATACGCGTTTATATCTGCATAAACACGCGCATTGTTAGTTTTCTTTATTTTTACTCGATTTTTTTACAATATTATCAAAGATTTCTTTATGACGTAAAAAAATTGCTTCTCTTCATCAAAGTTTATTCGCCGTTTAGAAATGCGGCCTTCTCGACGCGCTATCACGTGACTCGTGTCATGTGACATGTGTTTTGATGCAGTTTACAGCAATATGGCGGCTCTTGCTGTCAAAGTTCGATGAATCTAAAATTTACGTTATTCGGAGACTCATTTCTGTCGTGTTTCACGTCTAATGAGTTAACATTAAAAGATGCCTGTTGACATTAATCGATTAACGGAGGGTTGGTTAGAATTAGAAAGTGATCCGGGTACGTTGATTTGTGATTGATTGAAAAATGATGAGAAATGTATGTTAAAAAAATGAAATGTGTGAATTTTTGTACATTTCTTCCCTAGTTTTTAAGAAGCACGCATTATTGCGCTTTACATTTTGCAACACTTGAAAATTATAAATGTTTTTACGCATGGTATGTTCAAGGCTTATTCACCTTGCTCTTGGAAGACTTTGGAGTGAAGGGCGTTCAAGTAGAGGAGATCTACGATCTGCAAAAATCTCTCGAAGGTCCGGTCTACGGTTTCATCTTTTTATTTCGTTGGATCGAAGAACGACGATCAAGACGAAAGGTCGTGGAGCAGGATGAGAGTTTTGTCAAGGACGAAGAGATTGTCAATAATATCTTCTTCGCACAGCAGGTCTTGCATACAGTTTTATATCGATCTATATTTACGTCTATTATTTATATTTGTATAATTTTGATGTATAATTATTGTACAAAACAGGTTGTTCCCAACAGCTGTGCGACTCACGCATTGCTATCAGTTCTATTGAATTGTCCAAATATTCACTTGGGTACGACCCTATCTCGATTGAAGATGCATACTTCTGGTATGTGTCCGGAAAATAAGGGCTGGGCGATCGGTAATACACCGGAGTTGGCCTGCGCGCACAATTCACACGCTATGCCCCAGGCTAAGAGACGGCAAGACAAGAACACTGGTGTTTCTACAGGCCGATTTACCGGGGAAGCTTTTCACTTTGTGAGCTACGTACCGATAAACGGCAGACTTTTCGAACTGGATGGTTTGAAACCTTATCCCATGGATCACGGGCCATGGAAAGAACACGAAGAATGGACAGAACAATTTAGACGCGTCATAACCGATCGTTTAGGCATGGCCACGGGCGAACAGTTGCAAGACATCAGATTCAATCTGATGGCCGTCGTGCCTGACAGACGTCTCGCTATCTCGCATAAATTGACAATGCTAAAAACCAATCGACAAATAGTTTTGGAAGCTTTGCAACAGTTGGTTAAATTAAGTCATCAAGACGGCGGTAATACCGAAAAAAGCTCGCATGATTCCGACAAAGAGAAACAATGTGAGAAAAGGCACAAGACTGAGGATGAAAATGGATTGCCTATCAAGACGGAGATCGAAGAATCATCATCCTCGGTCCCCACCATCAACGTTGAAAGGAATAATGATTCCGCGATAGTTATGGATGAATCAATTTCCGGCATTGCATCTGGAAAAACTGAATCTAGGTAAATTTTTATTTTTTTATCAAATAAAGTGCATACATTGTGTGTATAACGGTAGAGAGAGGTGTAAAGTATCGTTTTAATAAAGCCTTTTTAATTATTTCAATTAAAGAATTGCAATTGGGTAACTCATTAATATCTCATTAATTTTTTTACAATGGTAACTAATAATACTTTATTTCTCTATGTTCTAAAAAGAGTTGTTCCGAAATCAGAGTATATTACACGTGCATACATATATAACGCGGCGGTTCACCCTCGATTTCAGCGGAATGGAGAAAGTAGTGATGTGCGCTCTGGATTATGCTACACCGCTGCGAATTCAAACCTCGCCGGCTCACAGTTCGTCGAGCACGGACACGTCGTCGGAAATAGGATCGGCCTTCAATTCGCCCACTCAAGGTAAAGGAAAGGAAAGGAAAGGAAAAGAAAAGAAAAGAAAAGAAAAAAAGAAAAGAAAAACGTGCACGCGCTTTACATACAATTCGTCATTATCGCGACACCTCACACAATCGTCTAGTAGTGCACACTCTCTTGCTTTGACAAAATATCAAAGCATTTGGACAACTCATTCGAATCGATTCGATGTTTTCGGATCCTGGCGTGCTATAACAAATGTAATAATGAGAATCAGAAACGGGATCCTTTATTTTACCGAGTTCCTGACACAATCTCTCTTCCTTTGATAATTCTACGTGTTTAGAACGCGTCGTTGCGTTTTCACGATCCTCGACGAATATCTCATCTACCGAAAGTTTGTTTCCGCACGTTTTCGCGTTCTCGATATCGCAGATTCGCGAGTACACGTTAAAAGCCGTGTGTAGGGGACACGAGAACTCTACTACGTTGGCCGTTTTCGGATCGCACGTATAATATCTGTTACAATCGGTTATGTTTGGCATACGAATGTTTCTCGTACATGCTACGACGTTAATAAATCGCAATGTTAATCGAGAAGCTACGGTCTTGTATCGGTCGATCGTCAAGTATTGTTTGTTCCCGAAATTATCGCTAACCCCTATTATGTTGTTGTCGGAATCCAGACTATCGATTAATAACTGCAAAGTGCTCTCTGTCGAAACGGCATTATCCAGAGTCGACGCGCTATTGCCTTCTTTCATTTCGATTGGTTTGCTGTTATGTAACCTTGTGTTTTCTCCGGTTTCATAACTTTGCATGAGATAATTTAGCGTTATGTTTTGTTGCGTATTGGATGTAAAGATGGCGATAGTCTTAGTCGGCTTTCCGGTCGTAATATCTTTAACAGATTCTAAGCTTGATATTGAGTTCTTGTAATTGTACAACCGATTAATCAATTCGTTTAAACACTTGTAATGACTATCTATAATATTTTTATATTCTTTCATTAGAGGCAACAGTGCTTGCCTATTTGTATAATGCTCGTTCAAATCATTCTTCTTATGATACGATATATTTTTCACGTCCTTATCAGCGCGCGTAGTCACGTTCGATTCGTCAAACTCGATCAAAGGGTACGCGGTTCCTACTTCGGCCGTTGAATCAGGAAAATGATCGATCACGTAAGACGAGTCGATTATTTTAGAGAATGGATCCTGCGTATATCCCGAGTAGCTCGTAGCCTCCGTTGGATATCCGACAAGTGCAGCGGATGTATCGTATTTGTTCGTCACGAGAGTATGCTCAGTCGAATCGCACGTCCAGGTATCACCAGGAACTACGCACATCCGTAAATACGGTTGAAATATCTATAATCATATTTGTGAGATATTAGCGTTAGCAGAGCACTATTACCATTCTTCAGGAGTCGAGAGAGTCTCTAACGTATTTGTTCGTTCGTTAATGTCTTACCAAGCCTTCGGTACATTTCGACGGTATCCATACGTAGCCGTCGCCAGGCAAATTCACGCAAGTATAAAAAATCGTGCAACTCGTAAGATGTGGTTTCTTCGATTCTGGACAGCGCGACGAACTCCCCGGGAAGATGAGACTACACGCGAAGAAGAATGATACGAGCAGCATTTCTTAAGCCGTCGTTTTTGCCACTGTTGTGCAACCTAATCTAAGCTGTTGCAGACTGCAATTCGTGCGTCTGTCTCATAGGCATTATGTACTTTTCACACGTACACATAACATTTCGTCCCGGAACATGTTTCGTTTCACACTTCTTGTGTACAGTTACTTGACCCGTCTGTTAACATACAACATCGTTCATTACCGCAGTTTTTCAGTGATTTTGGCAATGCTTAACACGCACGATAAGAGTATTTGGAGTATTTTGAGATTGTTTGCGCAATATCTTTTTGGAAGCTTTGACCATGGTGGAGAAAAAAGGATTTAGAATCTTGATATCTTGATGTTTCGTAGCTTGGGGCTGGAACTCCGGTCAGAGCAGTCCTACATCGACCAAAGACTTTAAAAAGTTTGTAGTGATCAGAGTAGCCGGTGACGAGAAGAATGAAGCAGGTCTGAGTAGGTATCAAAGTTTAATAAGACTGAACATTTCGCTTAATACTGAAATTTACATATTTCCATACAGGTCGTTCTTTGGGAAATATCAATATAAATGGAAAGAGATTGGTATCCGACAGCGGCCACCTGCACAAGAAGGTCTGCCTATCGGGGGAAGTCAGGATTCCTCATGCGAGAGTGAAAACGAGCAACGGTGACACGGTGACGGAGGAGAAGAAGGTCGAGAAGATCGATCCCAAGTTGTGCTCCAAGTATCCGGAATTGTTCGAGCCACATACGTTTGCTCCCAAGGATCTTTTAGCGCTCTTAAAAAATTTGGAACACGAGATCAACGTGTGTGAGACTAGTCTGAAGGATGAGAATGACAAGAGGAACAAATACAAGGTCCGCACTCATTGCGTACATATTATAAAGCATCCGCTATTTTTCATAATGGATTGTTCTATATTTTTTTTACTTGTGTTTAATGTAAAATGCTTTTATATAAATAACGAATATCTCAGTCTCGAGGGATGATATAGAAATTATCAACGAGTTAATATTTCAGATCGACGATTGTCGGAGGACGCATAATTACGACGAATTTATTTGTACGTTTCTCTCGATGCTCGCTCAGCAGGGAAAATTGGCAGAATTGGTTCAGCAGCATTTGACATTAAAGAAGCACACTTCCGTTTCGGTCAACAGAGTTCACAGGTACAACCTACCTATTAATGTTTAATAACAGCGAATTTTCATAAAGTTAATTCGTAAAATATGACTTCTTTAAGTTAATTTATTAAATCAATTTGTCAAGTCACAATTGCGCGTTTCTGAAACACATTTGTTACACATTCATTTTCAGGTCATCAAAAAAGTCTGACACTCGTCAGAATTCTTCGCGGAGACGTCGTGGCAGAACAAAATGTAAGAAACGAAAGTAATCTTTCTATCTTTAAGACTTACAATAGGACAGCATTATTCCGTTTGTTCGGAACTATTTGAATTGTTAATAATGGATAAAATATTCTGTGTAGAAATTATCATTTAGTTTTATAAAAATCATGATCACTTTTGTGACGGGCCACATATAATTTTAAAATTATAATAGAATCCATTTCTCTTTGAATCATTGACTTTTCAACTTTTAAAACGCTTCTAATTGTTTAGCGCAATACAAGTATTTTTTAGACAATGGCATATAGAGCAATTTTGATTCGATTTCTATAAATCATGATAAATATAAATTATATACTTTTTACAAATCAACTCGTACACAATGTAAATGTTTACACACACAAATGTATATATATTTTTTCTACTTTTTTGTGTTATTATGCATATTGTCCAAATTGTTGATATATTTGCAATTATGTTACTTCGTGTTCCTTTTCATATGAATTGCACGATTTGTTAAGAGCGCAGAATGTATTTGAGTTTCTTTCTTTCCACACTTATCGAATTGTTGGGAAAAAGAGGAGACTATTGGAAAATTACAAAGAAAAATAAGTTTTGTCAAAAACATTGAAAATATTTATCGATATTCATATACAAGTACATTACACGCGCTGTGGATATGTCCCTTAGAATCTAAATACTTACATCTCCGAACAGCCGGAGAAAGGAGAACCAAACTTATCAGATTGGTTGGAATTACGTTTTTTTATCATAAACTGTCGACGGGTTTACAATCTTCGCCTTTAAGTTGTTTTATCGTTAATATAGTGCATAGGAACTGTAATCGAAACGCGCGCGAACGATTTCACGAGATACAACGGAAAGGGAGAGAGGAAGTGAAAGACAGAAAAGAATGGGTAGATAGGGAAGGATAAAAATGTCGTTCCTTCTCCGGCCGATGTTACAGCGATCCTCGTAACTGCTTTTTTGGCAAAACGGTGCGATTCTATGTACAATTTGTAATAATAATAATAATAATAATAATATATTGGCTCATGTCGTGTTTATTCGAGGCGCGAGCGAGGCAAAAGTGCGCAAATATCGGTATGTGTATGTATGTGTACGTGCGCGCGTTTATAATGAATTAAATCTGAATTCGTATTAAGATTTCATCCTGATTGCGGAAAATCGTGAACGCTCGTTAATTAATAATAGAAGACAACACGTTTACAATACTTTCATTAATTTTTCGCCGTCAACTTTTAATCCCAACAAATTAGTAATCAATAGTAAGTCATGGCAAAAAATGCACATGGTTCACATGGTTGTTACAGGCACTCTCGGTATTTTAGCGAGCGACGCGATTGGAGACACGATATATTGCTGGCAAATTTTGTTTTTTTCCCAGCATTAGAACTTGGCGACAATGATGCGAAATATTTATTATATTGGCTGCTTTATATATATATATATATATATATATATCGTTTTGTGCACACATAAAAATGCATATGTGTGTGTGTTAGTTATTCTCGAATTAACGTCAAATTCGCGCCTTTATCGCTCTACACATACTTTATCATATGTAACAAAAGCAGATAGTTTAACAAGTGGAATACTAGTTCGCCAGTTTCTTCTCCACGATCGCATCGCCGACTTGTTTAATCTGGTGATACTCGATTTACTCGTTTTATCATCGCTTTTAGGAAAAATCACACTTTGGTTCTAGTTGCGATCTTGACGATTCGCGCCGATGATGCGATTTCTCCTATTCGAGTGACAAATCTTACTGTTATATGTCGTCGAATGTCTCTCCGAATTGATGACGACACAAGTAAGCACTGTACACGCGTTGCAACTACTTTCAATGACGATATCGAAAAATACATCAATTTGAAAAAATATATATATATAATATGTTGTGTGTATGTGTGTGTACTGTATATGCGCGTATATACTATGTATATATATTCGTGCGTGTAACACGTACACACACACACACGCACCTACATACACACACACGCACCTACATACACACACGTATTCTTGCAAATATATTCTATGTTACATACATATAGGCTCGCTTAATACTTTAATATTTGCTAAATTCCATCTTTCGAGAGGATTTTCCGCATCTTATTGTACATACATCAATATTTCTCGTTTATTTTTCATTTTCTTTACATATATACAGATACGCTATTATGTCGATACCGTGATTCGATAGCAAAAATATAAAAAAAAAGAGGGACAACATACATATATAGTTGCGACAGAACAAACGACAAAAATTTGGCCCAAATATCAATGAAACGCAGCCTCGCCATTCTTTTCTTCTCCAAGTCTTCATCAACTTTGTATTTACGCGTGATTCGAAAAAACAAAAGGAACAAATCACAAAACTAATGGAGCTTTGTTGAAATTTCGATGCGGTTTTCGAGACGCAGAAAAAACAATAAATAGAAAGTGAATTTAAAATGAATATTTAGAGTCTTCAACACATTTTAAGCAAAATAAATAGTGCTTATAAAAATTTCAAACATTTTCAAAATCGTACAGGTATACATATATATATATATATATATATATATATATATATATATATATATATATATATATATATATATATATTAGACAGAATTAATGTTGACGATTAACAACGAACAAAAGTTCGAGTATTTTAGCGATAAATAAATAATTTCAATACACTGAAAAATCTCGTCTCAAAGCTCCACTATGCAAAGTCGTCGTTGTTCATCGCTTTTACATATGAGATAAGATGTGATGACGATACGACGATGCGGATGTCTAACGAAAAAGAAGAGAAGGAAAGAATCCCATTTCGTACGTTGGAATAAATCGTATTATGAATATCCGATGGTAGTGAGATAGCCGGTTGCGCGAATCGGTGAGTGACTCATGTGTAATAGTGCTTCGTTTGGATGGTTCGATGGTATTCACCATACAATTCACCGATTATGCTCAGTTCGATACAACTGACTGCTCCTCGAATCGATAAAACACTAGTTAATGATAATATATAAGAACGATATTAAACCTATCTACGGGAGTTTTATAACGTAACAATCTTAAAACACTATAGGTATCGTATCAACTCTCAATTCCGCTTTGTTTTAGGATCAAGAGCGGAGAATGCCTGTAAGTCCTTCGACCGGTAGATCGCTCGCAAATTTTATAAACGGCACGATTAATTAATCCTTCGCAATAACTTAGATTTCTTTTTTCATCGACGAGAAAAATACGATCTACGGGTTGAGGGATTAAAGTTTCGCAGGCGAGACTTTCGATTATATCAGTTTGGGATGACTCAAGTAGATCGATAGTAATCGACAATTACAAGTTACTTGGCGAAACAACGCTTCGTTATTTCATCTCGAAAAAACTCTGTGCTTTCATTTTGCAACAATCGACATATGCTTGCGCCATGTAAGTGATCACGTTCGATAAGAGAATTCATTTATCAATTGGTTCTACTAATATATTGTATTAATACGTAGAACGCATAAAATTATACAATACATATCAAAGTAGAGATGAGAAATCCGAGTTGTAAAAGATGAAAAGAATTTTAACACGTCTTGTAAATATTGTCACGAATCGATCGCTATCCATCTGTTTTGGTTGCATCCGCAAGCGAGAGAATTCTTGACAAACGAATCTCGTCTCTTCGAAACAATCGATGATATTCCTCAGCTTGGCGCTACATCATACTCCATGCGACGCGACGTCGCATCTTTACGTAAAATTCTCAAGAATCCTGGCCCCGAAGGGGAAGAGCAGACCTTGGCGAAACAAGGGGGCGAGGCTCCTTCACGGCCCGCTGGCGGCGGCAGAGTGTCCGGTCACCAAGCCGTCCGCCGCGGCCGCCGCCGCTGCTACTGCTGCCGCGACCGGTTTCCCAAGACGAAATATCGACTGCAGGGATGCGACCTCGGACGCCAGACGATCCAGCTTCATCTTCACCTCCCGGTCGCTCTCCGAGACTGCGGTGACGGGGGGACCGGTCCATTCAGCGCCCAATGAGATGCCGGAGTCGCGCTCGTCGCTCGAGCCTTCGTTATCCCAGGGCGGCGATGCCCGCGGTCCAGGTTCCTGCTTGATACCTTGAAGCGCCAAGAGTGCGCTCGCAGCATCCTTGTCGCCGATGCGCGATTTGTGCCTGAGCTTGTGCGGCAGACTGTTGTTGGCGGCCGGATTGTTCTGGGAGCCGATGACCATCTGGGGACCGCTGGCCTCATCACCGCTGCCCGACGAGAGCTCGTACGGCGATTGTGCCCGACGACCGCGCGATGATAGATTGAGCGCGCTCGTGGTATCCAAGTGATGCATCGCCGGATGCGAGTACGGGTACTGAAAGCTCTCCGTCTCGGGGTACGCGGTCGTCTCGGGGACGTAAAGCTGCGAAGCGGGCGATCTGGGCGATCGGGCGCCGCTTACCGGCTGATGGATCACCGAGGTGTGCACCGGGCTGGGCGTGCGAGCGTACAGGAGCGTCGCCGATGTCGGAAGTTTCGCCCGTTTCACGCTGATCGGCGGTTCTGTTGGCAGGGCGGCCAGCACGTGCTCGGTACTGATGACGGTTTCGCCGCAGATGCCAAACTTGTCCCGTATCGCGTCGAGCTGCGCCTTGAGAATATGGTTCTCCTTGCTCAGTTCCATTACCCGCTGCTCCAGCACCATGTCGTTGAAGCGACGCTTCTCGCGCGATCGCTTGGCCGCCTCGTTGTTGCGCCTGCGGCGATCCCAGTAACTGTCGTCCTTTTTGTTGTCGGGGATAAACTCGCGCTGCTTGCGTTGCGAGAATAGCTCCTTACGAATGTCAAAGTTGGACGAGTAATTGTCGGGATGCGTCGTCACTTGCGATGAATCGTGATGATGATGCTGCGGCGGCGACTGCTGAGGCTGATGATGATGATGGTGATGCGGCGGTTGCTGCTGTTGCTGCTGCTGCTGCTGCTGCGGTGGCGGTGGCGGCGGTGGTTGCTGTTGCGGTTGATGTTGATGCTGCTGGATCGCGACCGGCGGTCCACCGTGATGACCGGGGTGCGCGAGGGGCACCGTAAGGGGTCCGTGGGCATCGTGGGGCCCGCTATGGGGCGCGCCGTGGCCGCCACCATGCGCCATTGTGTGCGTGGCCGGTATATTGCTATTCAGGCACGCCGTCTCACCATTAATGGGCGATCCACTCTGGCGGGCGACAAATTCTGCCACCATAATTTGTCTTCTTAGTACATCTGGAACGAATACGGACTTTGATTAGTCGAACAATCGAGAACAAGAGGTGAGAATTATATAATCAAGTTTTCTAAAAGGTTTTGCAATAACATAATAATACTTTTAAATATTGATTTAAGATGACTTTTGAAAATAAATTATTTAATTGAATGCAACAAGTTTTTATCATTTTATCTGAATAATTTTAGTGCGTCAAACAATTAATGATTTATATGCGGTCGCGTCCGGCTCCGAAATGTCGTACGTATATATTTCGGCGATCCGAAGACGATTGTCGATGTGGGCGTAGAAAATGAGACGTATTCTCACGCAGCTAAAGATAAAAAAAACCGTTCTCGCACAGGCGCTCTTTTCGTCCAAAGTCGCAAAATAGCCTTGGGTAAGGTCGCGCTCGCAAGGTTGAAGGTGTCAGTGAACTCGGCTCACAATCAGCCAACATTTGCTTCGTTCATCTTTTAATTTAGAAGAAAAGAACGTTGTCGTTTTGCGAATTTTTAAGCAATGTTTCTGTTTCACTTAATCGCACTTCCGATCTTCCTTAATCCTTTCGATTCGCGGCAACTTGTGGAAAATTACAAATTTATTATTGATTAAAGATTGCATTAGACTCTTAATTATTGATTGATTAACGGCGACTTTTTAAAATTAGATTATCTCTTCCGTCGTCGTATCGTAAAAATACCATCATTGGCGATAAATATGCAACATATGAGCTCGTATAATTAGTTTGGCTCTTCGTCGCAATTTTTGGCACGAGGAAAAGCGTTTCCTCGAGAGATTTATTTTTAACTCGCGAATAAAAATATTCCTCCGGCTTCGCCTTCGCGTATACGTATGTATATACGTAAGCTTTAATCCGCAAACTGCGTGTTACGCAACCGCGCACGTGCGTTTGAATTGAACCGCTCATCCACGTGTTTCGGATGTCGAGTGACATTCGAAAATACATATTTATCCAGCCTTTAATATTTCTTGCACGAGTCGCATAATATTCATGTATTAATTGCGATCGATCCCTGTTTTTTGCTCTTTTGATAATCAATTATCGCAAGTGAAAATCACATAGAATGCCACGATTTAATCATTAATTACGCATCTGTCTAAATTTGTATACTTATATGTATATGATCTACATATATATATATATATATATATATATATATATATATATATATAAAATTCGTTTTCAAATGAGATGAATTTCGCATTTCATACATGTCGGTATATTTGAATCACGCTTTACTTATTATTTTATAATTATAATAAAAAAGACGCATGCATTATATGTGGTTTCAAATAAAATCATCTATATTTAAGAAAAAATGTATTTAATTTTATATAACAAATATAATTTTTTCCATTTTACATTTTTTACACTATTGCTGTTGCGTCATAATATTTTAATTAAAAAGATTACATTTTTATTCTACAGAAATAATATGCATATTATTATTACATCATAATCGATGTAGCGTGAAAAATAAAATTCTAGCAATATGAAATGACTTATCTCATCTCAGAATTATGCAACTTTAAATTCTAAAGAAGAAACATACAAGTGATAAGACGTCCTCGGCGCATTAGGATGTAACAGCGCCATTATGTAAGCTGCATGCGTTTTCGCGGAACACGTGCATTACGCGTTCGTTGGTGAATATCAATAATGTTCCGATGGCAACGAGAAAAAAAGACAAAGGCGAGAAAGAGAGAGCAAGGAAGTAATTTATTAAATTTTAAGACGAAACAGAGAGAGAAAGAGAGAGAAACGTCCGTTTGTCATATATAAATACACACGCATCGTGAATCTTGTTCAATCACACGTGCTAGATTACAATGCTAGACGCATTTGTCGTTTCGAAACGTGCGTTTATACGACCTTGTCGCGATCAAATCAGATTCAATCTCCAATTATGTTTTTCCAATTCTTACCTATACGAGCGTGATCCGTGACATAGCTTTACGATTTAAATAATCAAATTTGAATGTCAGATATACGCATATACGCACGAACGAGTTTATTGACACGAGTTTCCTCGACTCCTCGCAATTATGTACGCCAAAACGAAAATTCGAAGAAGAGAATAATAATAAGGTAGCGATTTCTAGGATCCTGATATGGAAATTGAACGACTCACACATCCGAATGACGCATCCTCTCTTGCTCGTCTTATTTAATCTGATGTTATGCAATTGTCTTGCTGCTTGTTTTTCAGAAATCCGACAGTGTGACTCATTAATTTTTTTCGTCGCTTTTTATCGTACTTTATTCTTAGGAGGAAGAATAGCATTAATAATTTATTATAACGTGTCATTGTAACAGAAATAAAATATTTAAATTTGCAATAGAGGACGGAAATTTTAAACTAATAATTTCGCAAAATAAATAGTCACACATTTTTAAAAAGATTACACCTATACATAGAATTTTACGCTCGCAAAATCGAGAAGGTTGAAAAATTTGAGATTGCTGACGTCCTATGATACAATCCAAAAATTGAAAAGTTAGTCTCTCTCTCTCTCTCTCTCTCTCTCTCTTTTCTCTCTTTCTTCTCTCTTTGATATACATACCAACTATGATACATAGGCAATGAATTATCACGAGAGATTGTCGAAATTGAGCAATTATTTAGAACTCCACTCGCTCGTCCAATACCAATTATATATACGGCAATTTTGCGTGACTCACGTTACCGAAACGAAAGCTCGAAATCCGATCTATCAAATGAAAATGAACATTAAATGATAGAAAGCAAAATATCATCATAAAAAAAAGAAGCGAACAAAAGGAAATATATGTATATACCTATATATATATATTACATATGCGGGTGTGAGATATTGTACGTCTATTATTGTGTATATATGACACGTACTTGAATTCTAAATATAGATGTGTAGAAAAAGCCTTTAACAAAGTTTGTGCGTCGTAATGTGCATTGAAGTCGCAATTTCGCGAAATCCCGATGGCCACGCTCCAAAAGTCGCCACTTCCGCCCACAGGGACCGCCGACCTCCCGAAACACCTCTACGTTTCCAAATTAACTCGGAATTATTTCGGTGACTCGTAAATCTTGTTGAAGCGCGCGAATGCGTCTATTTAAAAAGTCGATTCACTCATTGTTGTCTCCCTAAAATTGCGCACCGAGGAAAGAGTAATTCGCGCGTGCGCGCGCGAGTCGATTTCGCGAAAGCGCTCGCTCATCGCATCGCCGCTTTATTTGCATCGACAATTAATTAAGCGCGTAAACAACGTTGTTGATCAACGGGATGGACACATCATCGTTGACTAATTTAATTCCGACGCAAATCGCGCAAACAACTGGACCGCGATTGGACTAGCGCGATAGGTCGTGTTTCACGTCGCACGCGTTTGTGACGCATGCGGAAACACTGCGTCGCGTCGCGTCGCGCCGCGCTGCGTGACGTACGCCACGTGTTACGTGTTATGCCCAGAGAGGAATCGTCACGTTTCGCTCTTCCGCCTGTAAACGATATAGACGCGAATAATCGGCCAATTTTCGACCAAGTTTCGACCAGCCGAGAATATTTAGAAGACACTCTATCTTCTTTTTCTTTTCACGTTTCTTTCTGCCGTTTAATTTGCATGCAGATTGCAGCGGTCGATTGCGCGATTATTACATCACACGCGTCAACGGAAGTGACTCGGTTCGAATAAACAGTCTGTGGTCTGCGAAATAATGTAATATTTATCTTATCTGCGTGTGCGTGTGCGCTGTGTTATCGTAATCCATCATATATTTCACGGTATTTTAGACAATATATGCGTACATGTAGGTATTTATAATTCGTGCGACAAAGATTCAGAAATAATCTATTTAGAATGTATCCTAATGTGTCATAATTGTGGATTGTTTCAATTACATTTAAAAAAAAAGTTGATTGCGCGTCATCGCGTAAATGAACGAAATGGAAAAATTACTCCGATACACACAAATCGAGGTTAAACTTCTTTAAAAAAATAAATTCTTATGACGTCAATGTGCGGTATTACTCTGTTATTTCCTCTATAGCCACGAAAGGTACCTTCTACGTAAATAAGTATATTTATTCTCTAACGCGTGAGACTAATGATAAATAAAAATGTTACGCAATATTCCATCAATCGCTAATGCTTCCGTATTATTAACATTAGCGCATTCATTCGATTGTATAATTCTGTCGTATAGTTTTTGACCACGTTTTATGATGCAAAGATATTTTTATACATATGTGTAAAGTATAATATACATATAATAAAACGTGTCGTCTCATTGGAATGATTTCGCAAATTTGGTTCTTACGCGATCAGGAAGCGTCATCGGGAAAAATAAATGAGATTGAATCACGTAAGCGACTCGATTTTCTCGCAATCGTTTAACCAACCGAATCATCGTGCAGCCCCGGCTGCGTGTCATGTCATCGTGGGTGCACCCACGGATTTTCCGCCGAAACGTCACGACTGCATAATTCGTTCATACACATCATACATACATCTATTGCATAATGTGCTTGTTTGAAAAATTCTTGTACGTAGGTATATACGCGATGTATCTAAAAGAGTATACAAGTGCACGCGCGTTTACTCGACTCGATATATGTAGATATACATGCATATATGCATACATGTATACATATCTAATGATGAACTCAACTGAAATGTGTGTCGCGCAGTTTTAAGATGCGCAAATCAAAATTTGTCGAAATATCAAATTAAATATCAAAAATGTTACATTATCTTTGAAGTGTGATTTATCGTAAATTTGAAGATGAAGGCAATTTGTTCTTAAATTCGAAAGGTCGATTAGTCACGGGAAATTACAATTACGAGTCGTCATATCGATGTCTCGACTTCGGAATCACGCGCTATAAATATTTGGCCGTTGTTGTCCGCTTAGTAAACAACGTAGCAGGAAAAAGATTACGGCCAACTGCGCGGATCTTTCTTCCGAAAACGCGCGCATCTTTCCATAGCGTACAGCATCCGCTGTTATTTTTTTAA